CAAATTCAAAATGCAATTCACCTAAGAAAATTGCCGCATTTTGTGGGTGACATGAGAGCTCATTCAAACCTTCCCGACCCACTGGCTAAGGGGAATGTCAACAGATAGATTAACAAGATTGGTTGCTTTATCTCAGGTAGAAAGAGCTCTACAATCTTATAAGTTTCACCATCAAAATAGCAGAAGTCTAAGAAAGCAATTTGGTTTAACTGAAGAGACTACTCATCAAAACTGTCAAACAATGAAGTATGTCCACAGTATTTATCTGTAACTAATTTAAAAATGAACCCTTGAGGCCTGCTTCCTAATCATTTATGGCAAGTGGTTGTTAATCATATTACAGGATTTGGCAAGTTAGAATATGTGCATGTGGCAGTTGATAGGCATTCGGGTTTCTTGATGGTCACTGCACAAACTAAAAAAGCCACCAAAAATGTGGTAAGTCATTGTTTAAGAAGTGTTTTGCTGACATGGGAGTTCCAAAAATGATAAAAACAGACAAAGGCTCAGAATATAGCCCCTTGAAAACGTAACTTGAAAAGATAAAAAAGGAGGGAGTCATGCCCCCAGTCCCCACATGATGCATTAAATCATGTACTCTTCATTTTAAATTTTTAAAATGTGGATGCTGGTGAGCAATCTGCTGCAGACAAGTTCTGCCATGATAGAACTCAAGCGACTTTTGCTCAGGTCAAATGGGGACATCCATGCACTAGACAGTGGAGAAGACCCGATTCTACCCTAATTTGTGGTTGAGGGTGTGTTGGTGTGTTTGTGCTTTCTTGCAGGAAAAGAATAAAGCTCAATGGCTGCCAGAACATTTGGTGAGATGCATGGAGCAGAGAAAAACTGGACCTGAGACTGCAGAATTCTGCCCAAGTCAATTTGAGTGAGATCTCCTGAACCAGTGTTCCTGACCCTTGATGTCATTGAATCTATGGTCTGAGAAAGAAAGGAAACAGTCAGTACAAGAGATTTCCAGTTTCTCAACAGGCCTGGTGCATCAACTTCTCAGACCTGTGAGTTTTCATCGTAGAGCCTACAAAGAACCAGATGACAAGCAGTTTGCCCTTGACACACCTTGAAACACAGAATTCATTTTGCCAGTTTTTCCCATTGGGGAAGAAGGGACCCATTTAAAACAATTGAACACTAGTATGGACCATGATGAGTGGCAAATCCACTTTTTAGTATTTGAACAGGACATGGCCGCTTGAAAAGCTGTTGGAGTGGTGAAATGTCAGCCTTGGTGGTTGGTGTTCCTGGAATGGCGCCTATGCCAGTGTATTTCTCTGGAGAAATGTAACTTGCCCTAAGGTGACAAAAAAGAGACTTTGGTATCACTGCTGGGGTGAGTGTAATTATTGCTGTTGCTGCTACAGCAGCCATTGTATCTGGGACTGCCATCTCACAGTCTGTAACTACAGCCAGCACAGTGGATAAACCAGCTGGGAAAGTGATAGAGGCTCTCAGCACTCAGAGCTCCTTAAATAACTTAGTCCAGGTAGGAATTAAACCTGTTTGCCTACCCTGGTGCACATTTGTGTTACCCCTGCCAAAGTTAATACTTATCAATTAGCCAATCAAATTATTAGGATAAATCAGACCTGGGTTCCTTCGTCCTCTAGAGAGATCCTCCTTGGGGGATTATAGATGTCAGGCTGTTTAATCAGAGAATGGGCTGTGTCCCTATCTCTAGGCCTTGTAGCCATAGGACTTATTATCATATGCTTCATTTGGCTAAGGAGCCTCCACACTAGACAAGACCAGGCTCGATTTGTCACTTGGTGACCACAGAGAATCCTTAAACAGAAAAACTAGGCAGCCAATGATAGGTGAGACTAAGGGGATGCCAGCCAACCTAAAACAGGAGAGCCATACAACCTGGGTGATTTCTCCATTGATGGGGTAATGTTGGAATTAATGTCTTAGTCACCTAAGATTGGCACTAATTTATGTATAAAAAGGGGGAAGATGTTGGGTACCAGCCCCCGCGGTGTCTCTGTGACCCAGTTTTCCAGTCCAAGTATATCCTGTTTTCTAGTCCTGGCTTAATGCCCTGGCCTTGCCCCACTGACATCAACATCTAGTTGTGAAAACATGATCTCTTCCATCTGTGCTTTCTCTACTGTGTTGTAAGTCTGTATATAAGGCTAATCCCTCTCTACAGAGAAGAAGAGACCACCTAGCACAAATGACCCAATGTCTTGTCTTCCAGTTAAATCCCAGGCTTTTGCTCAATATATGAGACTTGCTCATGGCACTTTTTTAACCAGTCATGTTTGGTTCTACCCTAGCTCTCTGGGCTTTACAGGCATTGGTTGGTCACTCCCACAAGTTCTGGGCCACCATTGTTCCAACTCATCTTGAAAGCAGGACAGACTGTAGGTCAAAGGTTTTAGGGCTGGGTTGATGTCCCAGTTTTACCACTGGAAACTCTGCATGGTTACAGATGGTGGCCAGTTCAAGCTTTGCATCCTCAATTGCTATGAGTTCCCACTACGGTCACCCTCAGAATGAACAGAGTAATCCCTATTTAAGTAGAAGAGCTACTATTCTCATCCTTTAACAATATTACTCTCCATGAAATTTCATGAATTTTTCTGCTATTGTAGTCACTTTCTATAGTCATAATTTTGTTGATTTTGAGAGCCAGCTATATGAATTTTATCCCATGAGAATTCACAGGCATTCATCCAAATAACTTCAGTTAATGGAACTGTTACAAGGAACAGAATTCTGCTTTAGTTGTGATATCTGTGTCTTGTTTCTTTTTAGTGATGTTAATGAACACAGAATAATCTGTTTAAAACACACTGTCTGGCAGTCATGATTTTAATGTCGTAAAAATCTTAATTTAGTTTCTGTAAAAGCAGTTTAAATTTTAGCAGTGTAAGTTCTTACAGAAAGTTGCAGTTAGAAATAAAACCTTAGTACTTATTATGTACTTTCCTCTCCCATGTATGTTAGCCTATTTTATTTGTATGACTGTGTAATGGGTACCAAGTATGTGCTTCCTTTTGTAGAAAAGAAAGTTATGGTTCAGATGAGATATATTTCTGTGAATTATTCTAGAATAGGGAAACTGGAGAAGTGTGTGTTTTTGTGTGTGTGGGGACATTCTCTCCATCCCCAGCACTCAGAATCCACTACAGCTGTGGTCTAAAATCCCAGCCACTGCTCAAGTTGGCAGCAGAATAGTTCTTGCCTGTGCTGCCATAGTTTTCAAATATAAAGAAAGCAAGTGTTCTAGCTCCTTTCCTGATGCTGTTATAAAATACACTGACCCTTGAGGAAGAGTGTATCTCTTAGGTTCCACTTCTGCTTCCATGTCATCCAATAATTGAGAACAGATAGGCCAGGAACTCAAGACCAGAAATATAGAGGAGCATGGCTTCCTGGCCCTCACTCTGCCTTGATGACCTAGCTTTCTTACACAGCCCAGGACTAACTCTTCAGTGATGTGAGACCATAGTGTGCTAGATTCTCCTCAGATCATTGGTCAGTGAAGACAATCTCTCACAGACATGGTCACAGACTATCTTGATTTTAACAATCACTCAGTTGAGATGCACATTTAGGCTGTGTCAAGTTGACAGCGAAAGTTAACAAGGATAGCAAGAGTTATGGAGACATGAAGACTTGTACCAAGATTTTGAGAAAATCCAGGTTGTTCAGGTAATATGTAGTAGGTTTCCACACTGGCAGCTCTAGAGTAGACTGTGCATCATGGTGAGGTCAAAGTTTCCATGATTATGTTAGGAGATGCCAGGAATATGGGATATGTGTAAGGAAAGCAGAAGTCAATAAGCAGAGAAAGCCTGGGAGAAGCCAGATGGACTGCAGAAGGCAAGGCTCAAGAGGGTCTGTCTACGTATTTTGGTATTCTTTTCATGGAAGCATAGTCTCCAGTTGGTGGACCTGGAGCTACATTATTTGGTGGTTTTCCATTGGCATTGGGTCTTGCGTTGGACAAGCTTTTCCTTCCTATTATCAAAATTTTCCTTTATTCTGTGATGTTGTGTGGTATAAAGGTGCAATATTCATTTTGATTTTGCAAAGGATCAAGGCCTTGACACTCAGAAAATATTTGGAACTTTGGACTTTTGCACACTGTGGGAATTGTTAATCATATGGGGTCACTCCAAGTTGGACTAAATGCAGTTTACATTATGAGCTATCCATGCACCTTTTGTATGGAATGTTCTCATTTATTTGTGAAATGCCTTCCACAGTAAGTGCTTGCTCCCTAATGGGTGGTGCCATATTTGTAAAGCTGTTGATTCTTTAAAAGGTGAAACATACTCTATACAGTAGATCACTAGAGCCACCTCTTTGACAATTATTCCCAATCCTTAGTTTCAGAACTTCACAGATTACAGGTTTACCGTAATGTGAACTTTTGCCACCTCACAGTCTGGCCATCTTCCACTGATTTACACTACACCATGCCTTCCTCATTCAGATTAATTTAAACTCCCTAAAATCATGTACCCAAATCATCCTTTGTCAAATGGATGTTTGTTATATGACTTAACTAATACAGTATCAGAAAACAGAAAAACTTCCATAGTAAATTTCCTCATCCCCTCCTTTCCTTGCCACCAATGAGAAAGAATTCTACTGTACAAATACTGTTCAAAATAAATTATCATCAGGGCTTGGTTCTAAGTCTTAAACAGTCTTAAAACCAAATATTGACATATTGCATACAATTTTTCATTTATAGCAGTGCTTTTGAAACAAAATTCCTGTGTATATATTTATACAAAATTGTAAATGATGATGTAGAAACATGTTCCAATGCAGTGGTTTAACTAAAGCAGTACCTGTTTACATAAAGAAGGTATGACTGAACCATCAGTGACCCTCATCAAGTACTGTATGACTGCATTAGCAACTAGAAAGGTAATTGCAGAATTCAAGTGGACTCAACAACTTTGAATGCATAACTTAATTATATTTATTCAATAACTTTAGACACTCAAAATTATGCCTTCTAAAAAAGTATATATTATAAACCAAATAAACATATATACATAAACAATGTTTACATCAAGGGAAGGAAGATAAATATAAAATAAACACTGAAGATAACTATTAATTAATATAGCAACAAAACATAAACACATGGAAATGAACACTAGAGATAGTATAATAATAGTATAGTATATAATATAACAAAACAAAATAAACACATGGTTTTTCTTGAACCAATTAGTGAGGTGGGGACAGATTTCTTCTTCAGCTGTCCTGTTGTGGATGGTCAGAGAAATTGTCAGGCAATCGTGGCTGATTTGTCCTAGTTCTAGGATGAGAATAATCCATTTAAAATTCACAGTGCTCTCTTACGCTTTATAAAATGATATGCATTTTAGTTTAAAGAGCTATTCAGAGCACATATAAAATGCAGTTATAGATAAAATGCAGGGAGTGTAATAAAATTGCTTTTGTAAGGTCCATCTTGTATCCATGATGAACACTCTGTTTAACAATTATATATTCCCATAGTGCTCAGGACAGGCCTACATGCACCATGACAACAGCTGTGAACCTTATTCCTAATACCCAACTCTAACCCTAAATCTACTCTAACTATATATCCTGAAACCTAATCATAGTGGTAAACCTAGCCTTAAACACTAAACTAGATCCTAAATCTAGTACTTAACAGCAATAAGGAAAACATGGAGAGAGTTTAGGGATAACTTTCTCCTTATGAAAGCTTTGTACTAGAAACTCATTTATAGTCTCATTAAATTTCAAACACCCTCCTATTCTTTTTCTGCAGAATTTATTCTCTTACCTTTCGACATACATGCTGCTACATTTTCCTCCATATATTTCATGTGTTTGAAATGGTTCATAGTCTTTGTCCCATGTCTTTCTCCTGCCTTGTTTCCTATATCCCTGAACTGTTGAAATGTGATTCAAAAACATATACACACTCATACTTCTCTCTCTCTCTCTCTCTCTCTCTCTCTCTCTCTCTCTCTCTCTCTCTCTCTGGTAGTCTTGCTTTAGCCTTTGTTGACTTGTAGGATATATATTCCATTGATAGTTAACTCTCTTTATCCCTCAAGACATATTTAAATACTAATATTCATAGGCTAAAGACTGAGTATATGTTTTAGATAAAATAAATATAATTATTACCTTCTTTTCTCTATGTTTTCTTTTCTATTTCTGGTGGTGGGAGGAAAAGGTATGCTTTTTGGTACAACATGCACAAAAACATGCTCTTACAGCATCAATCTGAAAGAGATTGTGCAAAATAAGGAGTTTATAAAATCAAACTTCAAACAATATTGTGAAATATTTGAACCATTCCAACCAACTGAAAAGTACAAGTATGAGTTATTGCATATTTTAAGTATATTTTCAAATTTAGAATAAATTACAGTATTATTAGAATTAAGTATTTAAGGCTCCAGAGCCCATTAGGACTCCTTCACTGAGGGACATTAGCTTCTAGGCCTAGGCCTTCCTCTGTTGTCCCAGAAACTCTAGAACCATATGAATGATCCTGACTTCTCTTTGCAGCCACATAAGAATCCTGTGAACTTTGTCTTGGGTCCTGGCCTGGATGGCCTCCTACACCAACACAGGGCAGGTGTTTTCCTCCAGGATCCCTGGCAGCGTGACCTCTTGCAGAAATTTAGGTACCCTGCTTTCTAGAGATTAGTGCCACCAATGACATTAGCAACCTCCACGTGGTCAATATAGACCTGTTTATACTGCTTGGGGCTATTCTTCCAGGTGGCTAGGTTTCATCTGCGAGGCACCACCTGTACTGACACAGGAACCCTGCTCTAGACTTAGACAGAAGAAGGATAGGGAGGGAGCTTGTGGCCCTTAGGATCAGTGACAAAGAAGAAATATCACATCTCAGCCCATCTTAGTCCCTCCTGATCATTTTAAATGCCTGCATTGGAACATAAAAAGTGACTTGAAAAAAAGGAAAGGACGAAGAAAAATCTGATTAACAAGTTAAAATATTTTCTCCAAAAATTGCGGATCATGTAATAGAGACATCCAAAGAGAATAACATGGATGAACTTCAGGAGAAAGAATTCATAGGAATGACTGTAACTATATTTCAACTAAGATAATCAAAATCAGGGTTAAAACTAATAAAAAGAAGTTCAAAAATTTTAAAAAAATAATGAAATAAAAACTTGATTGTTTGTAAAGATAAATAAGATTAAAAATCCTTATTCAAATGAAAGGAAAGACACAAATTAGTAAAGTGAGAAATAAAAAAGGAGGCATTGAAACAAATTACAATGAAATTCAGAAAACACAAACACATTCTTTAAAAATTCCATTCCATATAATTGCAGAATCTAAAAGAAATGGATGCATTTCTAGATTTGTAGTATTTAACAAAATTAAGTCAAGATGAAAGAGATGATTTAAGTATGTCTATAATCACTACCAAGACTGAAGAAGTAGCAAAAATATTTTTCAACTAAAAAAAATGCCCAGGACCAGACCGATTAGTTGCAGAATTCAACAGAAACTTAAAGAGGAATTAACACCTTTGTTACTCAGATTATTTCATGAAATAGAAAAAGAAAGGACATTTCCTAAATTTCTTTTATGAAGCCAGTATTACCTTGATAGCCAAACTACATAAAGATATCACACAAAAAGAAAAGAAGACCACAGACAGATTTCCATGATTAGCATAGATGCAAAACTTCTAAATGAGATACTGACAAATTGGGACTAGTGTGGTGATATATTGTTTATGATTTATTAAAGCCACTGGAGATCAAAATAGCAAAGCAACCATAGTAAGTTAGCCATAGAAGTCAGGCACATACCTTTAATCTCAGTAGCCATACAGCTAGGAGCTGGTGGTATACACCTTTAATCCTAGGACTCATAGACAGATCTCTGTTAGTTCAAGGTCACACTTACTACACAAAATCAATCCAGTCCTAAAAGAAACAGCTCACACAAATGTGATCTCAACACCTGGGATCACAGGTCTTTAATCCCAGCACTTGGGAGGTGGAGATAAGGGTGATATAAGAAGGAGGAGACAGAATCTGAGAGGTTTTTGCCTCTGAAGATTCGTGGGCACAGGATTGCCATTTCAGATGGGTAGAGGTAAGATGTACTGGCTTGGCTGCTTTGCTTATTTGATCTTCAGCTTGGAGCTTGAACCCCAATATATGTATCTGGGTCTTTTATTTATCATGTTATAGGCTGGAGACACGGCTCAGCATTTGTGAGCTATGATTACTCCTCTAGTGGACTCAGATTAAATTCCCAGCATCTACATGACAGCTCACAACTGTCTGTAACTGCATTCCAGCAAATCTGATGCTCTCTTTTGGCCTCTGAGTATACCAGGCACTCACGTGGTACACAAAAATACATGCAGACAAAATATCCATACACACAAAAATTAAAATAAAAAGATACTGGCAAAGTGAATTTAAGATCACATCAAAATGATACTTATCATGACCAAATCTGCTTCATCCCAGAATGAAGGGAAAGATCAATGTATGTAATTTAATAGATATTACCTATCACAAAAATAGAATGAAAGAAACCACATGATCATTTAGTATATTCAGGAAAAACCACTAACAAAATTTGAACATCTGGACATTAATGATCAAAGTTGTGGAGAAGCTAGGTATGGATAAAGAATATACCAAAATTATACAAGCTATATAGAATAAGTCTATGACCTACATTTTGGTAAATAGAGGGAAAAATCAAAATATCCCCACTAAAATGAGAAAGGAGATAAAGATTGTTCACTCTCTCCATACATATTCAATAAAGAGCTGAATTCCTAGCTAGAGCAATGTAAGGCATCAGTAAAAGAACTCAAAAGGTCTCAACTTACAGATGTAGGTTTTTATCATCTGCAAAGACTGTGAGAACTCCACTCACACACATACACAGACACACACACAGACACACACCCACCCAATCCTACAACTGATAAACACTTTAGCAGATTAGCAGCATATAAAATTAACACCAAAATCAATAATAAATATATGAATAAGAAAGAAATCAAGGAAAGAATCCCATTCACAAACCTTAGGATATAGATTCAACCTAGATATCCATCTGCAGATGAATGAATGAAATGTGGTATATACATGAAAATATGGCATATGCATGAAATGGATTATTACTCAGCTACAGAGAAAATGAAATAAAATAATAATAATAAAAAGGCATCTCCCAAGGCCCCAGCACTAGATGAGGAACAGTTGACAACTGATGGTTGTGAGAGGAGGAGACTGTTATCTGTGGGCTTGTGACTGATGGCAGGTTGCTCCTGTCCTAGTAGGTGTCTTCACATTCACAGAATGCTCAGCCCTAACTGGACTCAGCAGGCTATTAATAAGAATTTTAAAAAGACATTAAGTCCAGAAGAAGAAGATTGATGAGTATCAGGATGATTTGGAGGGAGACATTGGTGTATGAAGGTTTCAAAGAATAAATAAAAATATTATTATAAAAGCATTTACTTTTGATGTATTAATTCTAAAAGTTATATTAAATTTAACCTTATTTGGCCTACGGAACATTATTGTGGAAACAATAAAGTATGTAGTAAATTTAAATATTTACTTACAAACCGTTGCTTAATTTTTCTACCACTTTGCTGTTTCCGCCCTTCTGAGGTCTGTTTTTGGCCTCTCATAACAGTTACTGTTGACAAGTACACATATTTCACTAAGTTAACTTCAATGAGCCTTTAGGTAAAAGCTATTCGTTGTTATAAAAATTAGGGATGAGAAAATATTATTCTCATTTTCTCAAGTAGTAATTTTCAAACTACACACTGTGTCACATACTACATGTCAGAGTGTTCTGTATGTATCAACATGTGAATGGTAAATGGGTTTTGTTTTCCCTGTGGTTGGCTTAGGATAGCACAAGTAGATAAAGGGCTCACAATGCAGTGTTGGGAAGGACTCAGGTTATGCAAGTCTAATGTGTAATTTCTGCATACTTGGACCTTCGTGTTTACAATTGCAGTGCAAAGGGGGATCTTTCTCCATGTGGTTGGAGCCTGAATGTGACACAATGAGTAAGTTGGGGGAATGGTTTGAGGGAAGGGAAGGATGGAGTGTGAAGGTGTTTCCAGTCTGGGTTAAGGAACTTTTCTGAAATACTGAATATGTAAAATTATCACAGCCGAGTATCCAATGTAGAATGCAAATAAAGGAATTACTAGATGTGCAGATCTGAAGTTGTGCGGAACTGCACTCCCTTATTCCTTGATGTTAGATCTGAATGACCCATATGAACTCTTGTGTTGTTTGTGTTACATTGTCCTTTTTCTGTTGCATGTTTTCCTATGGCGAAAGACCTCATTAGGTGCTTTGTGTTATGCCACATAACTAAAAAATTTCCGTAAACGAAACCACTATCAACAATAAAAAGAGCAACAAAATGAAAACAAAAGTGTAAGCATTTATAAAGACACGAGAGTATGTAAGCTGTGTGGATCTGAGAACTTTGCACTTAGAGTTTGCATGAGTTGCTTTACCGGAGTTTAGGAAAAGGTACTTAAAACATGCTAATTACATAAGATAAGGACACAAGAAAACATGTACTAACGTTACATTGTAGCATTTATAGCTACCGATCTGAGTCCATAACTGAACAACAGCACGGAACTGACATGTACATTGCAACACACAGACTCGGACAAGCAATAGTTGAAGGTTCTCATTTACAAAAACTACATGCTAATTTACTCTGATACCATTTTTGTGACAAAACAAAATAAGCTAATGCAAAGCAATCCTTTTCTGGAGAGCTGACCCTGCCCGGCCTTGTCTGCCATGTGATGGTATGGGTGAGGGAAATCTGCCCTCTCCCCTCACCAGTGCAGCAGGTGAGAGGGTTGGCCCTGAGGTCACAAACTGGGACAGCTACCCCTGACCCTCACTGACTGCAGAGCACGAGAAAGCAGTCTTTGACCTGGTTGTTGGAGATAAAAGTGAGCCAGCCCTGAGGATGTGAGAGCAACAGAGCTGATCGTACCTCCAACCCCCTAGTCTCCTATGTGGTCATGGGTTAGGTGAAAGATGCCCTTCACCCGCTCTGCCCCTTGTTATCTGTGGCAGGCAAGAACTTGTCCTGGGGTAATAGGAGTGAGAACTAGCCATGCCCCACGCCAGCTATAGTACACAGAAGAGCGGGTCCTACACTCCATCAGGACAGCATACTAGACCTGACCCTGTTTTCAGGGTCTCAAGGGAGCCAGCACTAAGGGTGTGAGAGTAGGAGAGCTGATACACCCCCACCACTACCTTGTACACCCCCTACAGCAATCAGGAGAGAGAGAGCCGCACCTTGTCTGAGCAAAACAGTAAACATGGCTCTGGTGACATAAGTGAGTGGACCCAGATCTCTGGACAAAAGCAGGAGAACTGACCCTGTTCCTTGCTGTAAGCTGCATTGGGCACACTAGCCAAGACAGTGTTGGAGAACTCATCTGGGTAGTGATGTTGAGGGAAAGCTGGGGCTGACCACAGGCCCAGAACCAGGGCTATGAGTTGGTCCACTCCAACATCCATCCCATTTATGAACTGCTGGAATTTGTGAAGGGGACAAACCTACAGATCCAAAATAGCAGGCTCTCCATGACACTGGAAGGGACAACAAGGATGTTCGGGAGGGGAGGAATCCCAGTGAAAGCCCATTATTATTGGTGTGGCAAGAAACCAGAGACTTCAAGCTAAGAACACTTGCAAGTAAAGATGAATGGACAAAAGTGTAAACTGTATGTCTCAACAGGTCACACTACACCTTCTACAAGATTCTTCTCATTTTTCCTTTCTTTGTTTTTGTTGTTGTTTGCTTTTTGTTTTTTTTCTGTTAAATTTTGTTTAGTTTAGGGGGAGATTACAAGGGCAGAGGGTAGATGTGAGGGAAGGGAGATAAATGAGATTGGAATGCATGATGTGAAATCCACAGGAATCAATAAAAGTCAAAACAAAACAAAAACAATCCTGTTCTTAAATATTCATATTTATCTCATATATTCCTGAAGATAATGCAAACTGTATATGGACACCTGAGAGGCAGGGGAGGGAGGACTCCTTCCTTGACTGTCTAAATCTTACTGTTGCTCAGATTTGATAACACTTGTGTATTATTACCATTCTATGTGTCCTTTTGTTTACTATATATTAAGATGGTAATTTTGTGTCTACTTATAACAGGTAGGGTTCTGTTCTACACAACAATTCTATATAACGAGTATCTTTAAAAATGTACTACTTACTGTTCTCCAGGTGCCGCATTACATTTTTTCCTGCATCATTGTTCGTATTGGAAGAACAGGGGACTTCTGTGTAAAGTTCCTGTAGTTCATTAGCATCAGACACTCCCTATTAAATAAGTATTGGTAACATGTTTTAGAAAGGTCTTATATGATTTCTAAGAACATGCCTGAATTCCTAATTTGACAAAAACTTCAAAGTCTATGAAGTATATGTTGAAGATAGCTTAATGAAATATCTAACATATACACTGAAGTTTAAATCTATCTTTCATTTCTCATAGCACCTCATTGTGTTAGAAGGATATAGAAGAAAGATAGCACATTCATAGAGTAGGATCTGATGTGTAATATAAACAAAGGTAATTATTTTTAGATTAAGAATGCTTAATACTAATTTTTATTCACAAATGAATTTGGAGGACCTTTATAAAACAAATAAATACCCACTGTATAAACAGGAAAATGTCTTTAAACAGTATCGATTTCTATTTTCCTATTTGTCTCCTTTTAATTTTCTTTGCTTATCGCTCCAGTTAGTACTTTGAACAGAACATTGAAAAGGAGTGAGCCCTGTTTCACTCATGACATCAGTGGGATTGCTTCAGTTTTTTCTATTTAGGATGATGTGGGTGGTGAGTTTTTCATATATATATATATATGTAATATATATGTATATATATTGTTGTGTTGAGTTATGTTCCTTCTTGTCTTACTCTTTCTGGGACTGTTATTCATAAAGGTATGTTGGATTTTGGCAAAGGCCTTATCTGCATCTATTGAGGAGGTCCTGTGATTTTTGTCTCTTAGGTCCACTTATATGTTTTATGTGATTTATTGACTTGTGTATTTTGAACCATCTCTGCATCTCTGAGATAAAAACAACTTGGTCATGGTGGGTTGTCTTTTTGATGTGTGTCTGTTTTCAGTTTTCATGTTATTTTATTGAGCAGTTTTGAATCCCTATCCACAGGCTAACATGAGGGCTATTGGTTGTTTTCCCCAACATTATGGTAAGCACTTGTTGCAGAAGACAACACTTACGTTTTCTAACATGAGTAGTTAGAGTGGTGCCTAAGTAGAAGCTTCCCCTATATTGCTTTCAAGTTCATGTAAATGGATGGAACCAGAAAAGATATTGAATGAGGTATCCCAGACCCAGAAGATAAATGTTGAGTGTTCTCTCTCATACAGTAACAATTAATGAAAAAAGAGGCTGTGAATTTTAAGGAGAGCAGGAAAGAGTGTATGGGAGGTTATGAATGAAGGAAGAGAAAGGACAAATGTTCAAATTAAAATATCCATGATATTATGATCTCAGAGTTTTAAAGGCAATTTATGGAGAGTAAAGCAGATACAGTTCTCACGTACGAAATAAGTTTCCAAAAACTAGATTTCTATTAAAGTAAAATTGTAAAACAAAGTCATCATGACATTTGCTTTCCACTGTTGCCTCTGTTCAGTAGTGGCACCTTATTTGACATTCACTGAGTGAGCTAATGCTCAGGTCAATATCATAAGCCTCACATGGAGAAAGATCGCTGATCATAAAGTACCATTTTCATTCCCACCCAGTGTGAGCTACAGCCTTCTTTAAATTTCTCCATACTAACACCTTACAGTTTCTTTACATGGAAATGCATTATCCAACTTAAAACCTTTTCCTCTTTCTTGATTTATGCATCGTCACTGTAGCATATTCCCTCACTTGTAATAATCAGGACTTAATATCTCAGCATATAGTATATATTCACAAAAGGAAATTTATATAGGCTCAAACATTTTAAAATGTCTTCACAATGTCCTGAGACTGCAGTGAGCATGTTACTATATGTTGTTTCTCTGAAGCTTGTGTAAAATGCAAACATATTGTGTTCGGTATCTATGTGAACTCTTTTCATTACTTAATTCCTAAAAAACTGTATCCATTAAGGACAGTGGATAATGCTAGGAAATAATTATTGTTGAAATGAGCAAAAGAATATTTGGTTGTACAATAATGATAAAGCCTCCAATTCCAGAAGTGAACATTCTTTAAATAGGCAATTATTGAGTATATGATCCCATTCTTTCCTCAAATTAAGATCTTGAAACCATTCTGTGACCCGAGTTAAAATATGAACTTTCAACCTTACAGTGACTGGCTACAAATATGGAGCTACAAGTTGTTTTTTTTTCAGTGAGAATTATAACCTTGCTAGTGAGTTCAATTCACAGGTTAGCACTTTCACATCATTCATTACCGAAACAAACTCAATGACAAAAACTACATGAGAATGTCATTAGATGCAGAAAGAGCCTTTGACAATATCCATCACTACTTTTTTTTAAATCCATCACTACTTAATGATAAAAGTTTTAGAGAGCCTGAGAAGGAAAGGGAGCATATTTTCAACATAATAAAGGCAATAAACAGCAAACATGCAGCCAACATTTCATTAATAAAGACAACCCAAAACATTTCTACTAAAGTCAGGAACAAGACGAGGATGACCATTCCTTCTCCTCCTGTTCAATATAGTGCTTAAACTCTTCACTAGAGTAAGAAAAGAGGAGAGAAAGAAGGTCTCAAAATGGAACAAAGAATTGAAAGTACTTTTTATTTGTAGGTGATGTGATTCTATGAAAGAAAGACCCTAAAACTCTACCAGGAAACCCTGATAACTGATAAACATAGTTAGCAAATTAACAGGATATAAAATTTAAACACAAAAATCAGTATCATACCTATGTAACAGACACATTGCAAAAGCAACCAAGAAAACAATGCCACTCAAAATAGCTCCAGAGTATAATAAATTGGAACAAATCTCACCAAAAAGTCTAAGACTTGTACAATGAAATCTGTAAGACAGTGAAAATAATAAATTGAAGAAGTTATCAGAACATGTAAAGACCTCCTATGATCACAGATTCATAGGGATATTCTTCTGAAAATGGACATCCTAACAAAAGTAATCTACACACTCAACACAAGTCTCATAAAAATTCCAATGCTTCCACAAATCACAAATTCTGTGACACCATTACCCCAGCACATCTTGAAGGCAGGACAAATTGTAGGTGAAAGGTCTTAGGCTGGGTTGATGTTCCAGTACCACCACTGGAAGCCTTGCCTGGTTACAGAAGATTGCTGGTTCAGGCTCTGTATCCCCCTTACTAGGAGTTTTCACTAGTGTCACCGTTTGTCCCAGGGAGTTTCCCCTGTACTAGATTTCTACATCATTCCCCAAGTGCCCCCCAGTTCCAGTTGTCCCACCAATACTTGGGGCATTGGGGTGGGGGACTGTGAAGAATGGTGGGTGGGAAAACTGCAGTCAGGATGTAACATATGAGAGAAGAATAAATAAGAATAAGAAAAAATAAGGTGAACTGTCTAAAATAAATTTCAGTGCTTGCTCACAGAAAATGAAAAAGAAAATATGAGTTACATGTGGAAACACAAAAGACTAAGTATAGTCAAAACAATATTGAACCATAAAAACAAAAAGAACAAAAAGCAAAACTGCTGGAGGCATCATCATTACAGACTTCAATGTATACTACACGGGTATAGTAATAACAGGATGGCAGTGGCCCCCAAACATGTTGATCTATAGAAGAAAATTGAAGACCTACATATACACAAACAGTCCTACAACCACTTGATTTTTATGAAAGAGCCCATCAATTCACTTTGTGAAAAACAAATGGTGCTAGTCAAATTGGATAAATATAGATAAATGAAGGAAACTAGATCGCTATCTCTCACCTTACACAAAATTCAACCTTAAATGAACCAGGTATCTCAGCATAAGGCCTGATGCTTCGAATTGATAAAGGAGAAAGTACAGAATAATCTTTAACTCATTGGCACGGCAAAAGACTTTCTGAATATGATACTGGTAGCACAAACACCAAGATCAACAAGTAATAAATGGGACCATATAAAACTAAAATTCTATTCAGCAAAGGACACCATCATTTGATTGATGAGACAGCTTTATAGATGGTAAAATAATAGATTAAATGCTTTAATTTTAATGTTAAATTATTAATCTGTTAACTGTATAAGGTAGTTTAAATGTAGCATGTTGACCTATAATAATATCATTAAAGCAAACAACATTAAATGAGAAGTTTAAATTAAAAATTTTACATACAAATTCTTGATTTTTTGCACTCTTATCAAAACTCTCATTTTGCAGTTCAGATTTGGGTATTTCTTCTTTTAGCTCTTCTGACAAATCTGTATTTTCATGTAAAAAAATATGAACAATTAGACAAAACAATATTCTTGTAATTTTGGTTGTGACCCTAGTCTTTAATGGCTGAGCCATGTCTCTAGCCCAGTCAAAACAGTATTCTATAAAAAAATAAAATTAGATGTTATTTTTAAAAATATATTTCAATTAACCACATTGTATAGTTAGATCATTAGATAAACTTGTAATTGTAGAAAAATCAATACTTTACATGTACAGATTCTACATATTGGCCTGTTTTGAGTCATACATGCCTTTATATAATTTGTTTGGAAGTTCATAAGGGACATATATGCTTACAATATCTGCTTTTGAAAATACTACGGGAGAACACATTCATCCTGTGAACTATTCTCTGCCTTACCATAGTAGCTTTTAAATAACTCACCAATTACTTCATCAAAACTATTATTAGTTTACCACATATTTATCTGTGAATAGGATAACATATGTATGCTCTATACTAGTGGTTCTCAACCTTCCTAATGCTGTGACTCTTTTAAGTTCCTCATGTTAGGTGATCCCTCAGTAAAATCATCTTTTGTTGCTACTTCATAACTGTAGTTTTGCTACTGCTATGGATCATAATGTAAATACAGTGTTTTCCAATGATCTTTGGTGACCCCTATGAGAGAGTCACAACCCACAGGTTGAGAACGATATTGTTTATTGACAAATTACCCTTTTATGATTCATTCCAGCACATGGACTCTATGTGTTTTTTCATAGAAAAAATGAATGTTGCTTTCTTTGTTTTTTTATTTATTTTTCAGTTTAAATTTAGATAAGAAACAAGGTTGCTTCACAAGTCAGTTCCAGGTCCCTCTCCCTTTCCTTCCCCTACTCCCGTGCCCTCCCCCAACCCCCCCATTATCTCCTCATTTGCCCAGGGAGGATGAGGCCCTCCATGGGGGTGTCCATAGTCTGTCATTTCATACAGGGCCGGGCCTAGACCCTCCCCCAAGAGTTAAGGGTGAGAGAGCATCTCTCATTGTTGCTTTCTTTGTGGCTACCCTAGTCTGTTGTTACTGTTGAAGCTTTTCTTTCCTACTTCAGTTAAAATGCACTGTGTTCCCGGTGTGTCTTTTTCCCCTAGACAGTAGAACTGTATTTTGGATCACTTTATATCAGCAGTTCCCTTTTGTTTTTGCTTTTTGCTTTAATTACTTTTTGCTTCCTCATAGGTTCTGAAATTGGAATTTGGAAGTAAACAAGACATTTCATACAAAACATTTTTATACTGACAATGCCTGTTCTGACACAGATAGATTGAGTTTCAGACAATAGAGTTCAGAGAAATGAAAACTATAAAGGCCAATGAGATGTGTGTAAGTGAGTAATGGGATTTTCAAATGGCTGCTTCACCTTATAACAGTGTAATCTCTTTTGTTAAAACAGATTATAGACATGCTTTATAAATACCATTCATTTTCCTTGTAAGTAACATACAATGTACTACACATGAAATTCTAGAACAACAAAGCATTGTTTTTATTTTTTTGAAGATGTAGTATATTGCTATTTGTCCAGGCTGGAATAGAATCTCTGAGTTCAAGTATGTCTTTGCCTTGGCCTTCCAGGCAGCTTTGAATATAGGTGTACATTCTGACATCCAGGTATCCAGAAATCATGTTTAGACTTTGGGGGAAGTCTCATAATTGACTTCTGTAAGTCACTAGTAAACAGAGGAATTGCACACTGGAAAAGGTAAGGCGATCAAACCTGAGTATTAAATATTGATGTTGAGTTTACATTTATAAATATTTCATATTGTCGTCTTTGTGAATATTTTTGAAGCATGTATACCACTAGTGAGATGGTATTGCTTATGTAAAACCCAACTGTCACTATCAACAAGAAATAATTGGCATCAAGAAGACTGTGAACAATTTGAAATGTATTAAAATATTTCGATCAGAAGAAAGCAACTTAGGAAATTTACCTGGTTGAGACTCCTGTGGTTCAGATTCAGGTTTGGAGGTTGGATGAGAATAATCTCTCAGCTGAAAGGATTTTAAAATGAGATAATTAATCAATGTTTTGGACTTCCGTCAATATGTAGTTATTCAATATAAGTATTAAAATGAAATTACCTCTGGGTGCAGACATTTGTAGGCCCATACTGAAAGGGAAAGGATATATAATAATCAATCCCATGTACAATGACAGCTCCAAAACTACCTATATGAAGGCTGTGGATGGCAATGAGTTCTCATTCCATCTGTTATTTTGTTGTTTAGGAAAGCAGCTGACAGAAATATACTGAAATATACTAAAGCAGTCTATAGAGTCAGTGTAATCCCCAACAAAATTACAAAGTAATTTGTCATGGAAATTGAAAAAGAAACGTTCAGCTTCATATAGAAACACACACACACACAAACTCAGAGTAGCTAACACAATCCTGAATAGTAAAAACGACTGTAGGCATCACCACCCCAGTGGGAAGGACAATGGAAGAAGGGGATTAGGTGGGGATAAGGGGAGGGACAATTCACTAAAGACCAAAAACCATATGGAAACCTACTAGTGTAGAAGCTTCTTAATATATATATATATACATATATATGTGTATATATGTATATATATGCATATGGAATAAATCCAAATGGAGTTTTCAAATAACAGGGGAGACATACCCCAACTAAACATCTTTTGCCACCATATGAAACCTTCAGTTACACCTAGGTGAGTGAATAGACAAAGGGACCCCAAGAAAACTCCTAAATATCGCAGATATAAGAGAACCCATAGATCTTTCTGTGACTATTTCAATTTTACACATTACTCAAGTTTAGTAATATATAGATGGGTCTTATTACTGTTTTGATTGTCTTTTATATTACTACAAAATTATTCGATGATATCTTTGGATGGTGTAACACACTAGTATTTGTCTGACATAAAATATTTTCATGATGAATCTTACCTTGGTTTTTTTCTGTATCATTTCTTATATTGAATGAATGGGTAACTTTTCTGGAAGTTTCCTGCAGTGGAAAGACACTCTGTTAAATGGTATTAGTAATGTGTATCAGAAAGCTCATATTTTCTTTCAGGAATATACCTTTATTTCTGACTTAAAAAAACTGTACTTGAGAATATATACAGTATATATTGAAGACCATGATATTTGAATGGGAGATCTTATGTATACACTCAAGTTTAAGTTCTTCTTTCATATCTCATGACAGCCATATGTATAAGAAATATAGAATGGAGGAAACACATTTATAGAAGAGTAATATCTGATGTGTATATATCAATAAGGCAATTATATTTATGTTACAATACATCAAACTAATTTGTACTTCCTAGTAAAGTTGGAGGATGTTTACTAATAAATGTTTCCATTCCATGAAGTTTTATAACAATGACAACTTTGTGGTTAGGCATAATTGAAGATATGTATCATGTTAAATGTATTTATCTTGTCATCTTGAGTGTGAAGGGAACAAGGCAGATGATGCTTAATTTCAGTAAAAATGAGCTGACAGAACTGACATTTTGTTAATTTCTTATAGAAAGAGAAAAACTGGAACAAAATGATGAAGAAGACCAAAAAGTCCTTCTACATTATCCTTAAAGAATAATATTGGAATACTTAATATGAGTAGTAAGCAAATGTTTCTCAGAAATCTTCCCCAAATATAAATTCCCACATTTTATTATGTTTACAAGAATAACCAAATCTTGCTTTCTATGTGTTCAGTAATGCCATCCTAATTGACATCCACGAGTAGACCCACACTCATTTTCTAAGCCATCTTGGCCTTCACTCTTAGATCTCTCATGACAAAATACTATTCTCACTCTTACCCTGTACTAACTACAATCATCCCTAAATCACCCTCCTCACTACCATGTTTTCTTTACACCAAAATGCACCTCTTTGACCCCAAACAGTTGCTTTTCACTTGTTTTGTGTCCTCACTACCATGTTTTCTTTACACCAAAATGCACCTCTTTGACCCCAAACAGTTGCTTTTTACTTGTTTTGTGTCCTGTCATTATAGCATAGGCTTCCATCTGGAAGAGTCAGCGCTTAATTTTTCATAATATAGTAGATATTCACTATAAAGATTTATGTAAGTTCAAATACTCACATCCTCACACTGCAGTAAGTATGTTAGTATGTGCTGTGTCTCTGAAAAGATCATGGAAAAGGGAAACCTATAGTGGTCTTGAATCTATGTGAATTCTCTACATTAACTTAATTTCTAACAGAATATCTTCATTAAAGACACTGGAGCACTATGTTCATAGCAGCATTGTTTGTAATAGCCAGAACCTGGAAGCAACCTAGATGCCCCTCAACTGAAGAGTGGATAGAGAAAATGTGGTACATTTACACAATGGAGTATTACTCAGCAGAAAAAAACAATGGAATCTTGAAATTCGCAGGGAAATGGATAGCACTGGAAGAAACCATCCTGAGTGAGGTAACCCAGTCGCAAAAAGACAAACATGGTATGTACTCACTCATATATGGATTTTAGATATGGATCAGGATAGTGCCAGTCTGCACTTCCACAGATAGAGAGTCTGGGAAACAGGAAAGAACCTAAAAGATATGCATATATGCATAGTACCCAAGAGAAGAGGATGGAGACAAGATCCTCTGAATGGATGGGGAACAGGGCGAGGGGGGGTAGTGGGACCTGGGAAGAATAGAGGGGGTAAAGAGGAAGGGAGTTGGTCATGGGGGAACAGGAAGTTGAGGGGTGGGGGTAGAATAGGGGGAAGAGGGAATCATAGGATCGAAGACAGATCAGGCACCAGAGTGACCTCGAGTGATCTAAAGGTATAACATCAATTGGCAAGCTAAGCAATAGTGGAAGGACCACCTCGAATGCCCATTCCTGATAATGAACTTGATGTCTATAACTATCCGGGAGCCTTCATCCTGGGACTGATGGAAGCAGAGGCAAACACACAGCTAAGCACTGAACTGAACCCAAGGAACCCAGTGACAGAGAGAGAGGAATGATGAGCAAATTGGCAAAGAATGGGCTGGCAAAACCAGCAGAGACAGCTGATCTGAACAGGGGAGTGCTCTTGGACCCCAGACCGACAGTGGGGAGGCCAGAATGGGACTGATCTGGACCCCCCAAATGTGAGTGTCAGTGAGAAGGCCTGGACAACCTATGGGGCCCTGAGCTGTGGATCAGTGTCTATCCCTGGTATACAATCTGTCTTCATGTGCCTATAGCACAAAGAGAGATGCTCTCTCAGCCTGGACTCTTAGGGGAGTACCTTGACCCTACCAAGAGTAAAATGATAGACTCTAGACATCCCCTATGTGGAAGGATTTGGCAATAGGGTGGGAGGGAGGGTGGAAGGGGAGTGCGGGAGGAGGGGAGGGAGAGGGAACTGGGATTGACATGTAAAACAAGCTATTTAAAATTAAAATAAAAAAATACACAAAAAAGACACTGGAGTAGAGTTGAGAAATAAGTGATTTTCTTCTTTGAAACGAAAAAAAATATTCTCAGTTGTTCCTTTACAATTAGGCCTCCATTGTGGAAGCAAACATTCTTTTAGTGGGCAGTTTAGTTGATTATATGACCATATCTCCTCAGATGAAGACCTTAAAATAATCCAATGACGTTAAAAATTGCTCCTTGGTGTAACCGAGTGCAATCATTATATCACATATTTAGCTTCTGCAGGAAGAATAACCTTTACAAAATGAATCCAATTCTGAAATCATTAATTTTATATCACCTACTATTCCAAATGGAGAGCCTCAAGACTCTCCAGCCATATAAGGAGCTTAAAACAAAGCACAGATAATAATCACATAATTTACTGAACAAAAAAAGAAAATTATCTGTGTCACTGGATTCTAAGAACACTATGTGTTTTATGATAGGTAAAAGAATTTCATTTTAATGTTAAACTATCATCTATTGACTGCATATAGTACCCTGAAATGTATTTTATTTTGGCCTGTGGTAATATCATTAAACAAAACAGTATTATAGAAATTTTAATTTGAACAGTTACATACCAATTTTTGATAGCCTTCACTCTTTTTATAAACATTTTCACTTTCCAGATTTAAATCCTGTATTGGTTCTAATTCTGCTTCTTCTGGCAAATCCACGCAGTTTATTAAAAAAATATAAACAGCAGTTAGCTAAATAATATTCTATGACATTAGATTGAAATAAATTAGAATTTAGAAAAAAATCTTTATTCAAATATTTCAATTAAATGTACTCTGTAGATGAATACTTAAATCTTTATATAAATGTCCCAACTATAGAAATACTAGTAATCACTTGTGTGGACACTCCATGTTGTCAGGTTCAAGAAATATAACTATCTGACCAATTAATCTAGAAATTAATAAACCTCATATAAGTGACAATGCTTTCTAAAATCCACATTTTAAGGTATCATAGAATTGAACACATCTATTAAGTGCTTGAAAGCATACACACACACACACACACACACACACACACACACACACACACACAAAGGACACTGGATAAGAATTTGGAAATAATTGATTTTCTTCACTGAAATGAGTAAAACATTTTTAGTTGTAAGACCCTGTTTCTGAAGATGCCATTTGTTTCAGACACAGGATTTTTAGGGATTTAGCTGAAACTAAATTCCTTGAAAACCTGCTTTCATAGTACTGTGCAAAGTGCCAGTAGAGATAAGCAATCCATAGTTCCACCAGCAGAAAAAGGAACCCAAGATATCCCCAGTGGTGTGATAGTGGTACTTTTATTTTTGGAGTAACCAACAGCTGTATTATTGGTCTTAAGGCCCACTCATGAGCAATTCATGCCTAATATTGTAAATCTAGTCAACTACCCATGATTGAAGAAATCATTGACCCTAGGGATAATATACTACTATCATTTTCTTATATCAGTATAGTTACTGTGTTCTAAATATGATTCTTTTAGCCACAGTTATATCCAAATGTAGCTCTTATTTCTCATCAAAGATGGTCCTTTACTCAGCAGACAGAGGTATTACAAATATCTCTAATTAGTAAAACTGCAAGAAGCGACCATAAGGTGCCCAGCCCCCACTTATAAAACACTAAATCTAAGGTTCGGGGAAAATAGCAAAATTAGGTGCAGATAGATTGTGCAGCACTTTTTCCTGCTACATGGCATCTTCTATGCATGACTTGGATGTTGCTACCATGATCTTATGTGCTAAGTGTGTACATTACCTTCTTGCGCTTCTATACTTTTGTATTGTCTGGAAGGTATTGGTGAGTCATCTGCACCATTTTTGAGAATGTCCTCAGGAATGTCTTGCTATAATTGATAACAATAATGAGACATCGTAATGAAAACACAGCTGAATTTCCTATTTTGAATTCAGCTAAACTTAAAAATAAGACTGTAATTCAGAATCAGTATATTTTCAGCTAGGCATGGTATAACATGCCTTTAATCCCACCAATGTCAAAGCAGTGGCAGGTGGGATCTTTGTTAGTTTGAGACTAGCCTGGTCTACACAGTGAATTCCTGGGCAGCTAGGACTGTTACACAGATAAAAACCTATCTCAAATACTCCCGCCACTCCCAAATGAGCATATTTTCATAGAAAATATTTTGCATGCTCTTGAGATCAACTTATCTGTTCTCCTTATATGGTCACATATGATAAAAAACTAACCTTGAAAACAGAATTAGAAAAGTTCTCACCTGTAAAATTCAACAAGAAACTAAGCTCATGATATGAATCTTACATTCCTCACCAAAACTGAAATAGTTCAATACATATTTATGTAATAATTATTATTATGTTTGTTATACTAAAGCTCTTGATTTTCTAGAAATAATTATATTGAGAAAATGAATTTAGTAGTAAAATAAGATGCTTAGTTTGGCAAGGAAATACAGACTATGCCATGCAGAGAAAAATTAAATATTTTAGAATCAGTTTTATTGAGGAAAAAAAGGATGTGCAAAACATAAATGCTTTTGTGGAAATTCTAGAGATAGAGAAAATAGTTTAACAGAATTAAAAAGCAGCACGTTAATCTTTTATGTTTTCATGAAGTATGTAAAAATTCAATGAAATACTAAGAACAGTGAGGAGAGGTTGTCATTAGATCACAATAAGCCCTAATATGAAGGGAAGAATCAGAACATTCATTCTATGTCTGGAATGTTCCAGGAACTTACTTATACTTGGTAACAGAGGAATCACAAACAGGCTCTGATTACCTGAGTTTTAAAACTAGCTTTGTCCTCAATTCTTGAACACACAGACATCAGTGACTCAGATTCGAAGTAATTTCTTTCAAGCAAAAACACACAACACAACAGGTGAGTAATGGGGCTATAAAATATTCTGAAAGTTTAGTTATTTGATTAGCAAATGGTGTTTCTTTATATTGTTATTAAACATTTGGTTTATACAATTCTTTCAGTTGTTACTTTCTGCTCCCACTTCTCCCAATCTGCACTTGCAGATTGGCACATAGTCCCACATCAAATAGTGTCAACTAATAAATTGGTGGAAGCCAAAATCCTTTATTTTGGAAACTGTCTGTCCTGATGATTTTAGGAATGCTTTTCTCAGGGAGGTTTAGCCATTACAATGTAGATAACTCAGCTTCTCTTCCTAAATTGGCTCAGGATTATTCCACCACCATCAAGGACTTAAAAACCTTCTTTCAAATGTGCCCAGGTGACATCAGAGACTTCTGGAGAAGCAGATCCCTTGTACTTTTTCCTCTGTCTCCCTCTACATTCTCTAGATGTCTTTCTTCTATAGGATACCACTGCATGTTCCCTCTTCTGCAGTCTTCAGTGATGCTCTCCAGCCTTTACATATTCATCCCAGGAAGGTGCAGATTCCTGAAAACAGGGGCTCAAAGAACTTGAGTAGCAACTAGTTCCCTGCTCCAGGCAAATGAGGTAAATGGATGGTCAGCAGTATCCACCCCCAAGTCAATACATGTTACTACTTTCTACGAAGATGGTGCACATTCAAATCTATAAAGGATATATTATATGACTTGGGAAAATATACACAGGGAAGGTAAAACTGCCCTGGGTCACAGATACATTTCTTTCTGTTCCTTCTAGCCCACCCTCTGTGATATATTTCTGTTTTCTAAATAGACTTCACTGTGGCTCAAGTAAATTTCAATAGAGACCTGGAATTTGTCATTTCTTACAATTAAACCAAAAGGCAACATGTTTTACAAATTGCTTTCAGTCCTGTTTTAACATCCAGTTATACATGATTTTCAATATCCTGTGTACTTATAAATAACTTTATTATTTTAATTGTAAGGCCAAACTCCTAGTTCTATTGACCATCATGTTGTTCCTTTCGATATTGCCCTTCCCCTGTTAAAGCCATTCTAATCTTCCTCCATCGGGCTCACTTTTCAATGTCATTCTTGTTCTCCTCCACTTGGAACACTTGATTCACTCCCCTGTTCTCCTACAGAAGCACTCAATCAAATACTGGTCAGTAAGGAAGATGCCTGGTCTTTTAGTTAAGGAATATGTACATCCAAATTGGGCCATTTCTATTTCCACCTCACAGAGAACTGTCTTTTAGCTTCAGGTACTCCATCAGAACAACTTTTTACCCAGGATGTTGAATCTAGTTTGCAATGTTCAGGATACTTTTACTAGTTTTCAAGGTTCCCTGAAAACTCACAATTTTGGGAATCTGAGCTTCTCTACTAAAAATAAGAAGCAATACATGGCTAATAAAATCCTAAACTACATACAAAGTAACTTGAAGTAAAATTTACATTAAAATTTCAAGAAGTCTGGTGTCATGGGGAAACCAAGATTTGGTAAGAAGGAAAACCTTCCTTTACTCAGGAAGTTTGAAGAGAAAACAAAGCTGAGGACAAATTAATAATGCTCTTTAAATAGATGCTGGATGTGATAAATACAACGTTTATGTGCACATGCAGTACAATTCCACTAAAATAATTCCAAGACTTCTCTTATTCATTTCAAACCTATGACATTATGCTCACAGTTAAGTGAAGTTTTTCCCTCCAGTTTTTGATGGTAGTACCATGAACTGACTAGCAGCAACTGCCAAAAGGTTAAGATAAGCTATTGAGCTATAGATAGTTTTCTCAGGAAAACTCTAACCTAGAGCAGGCACCTAAGAAACACTGACTTTCTATGTGGGATCATCTCAATATAGTTAGAGAAGCAAGAGAATGCACAGATTGACAATTCATGAGCTGGCCACTTGTACACTATGGGGTCATGGAATTAATCAACTCTTTGGATTACAGTTGCTAAACTAGTGATACACTTAATTAAATAATATAAATGCTTAAAACATGATTATACTAAGACACAAAGTTCATTAAGTGAATCACATGGAATACAGTAAAGAATAGAACATTCAATAATAATAGCTTCTTATCCCTGGTTCAAATTATAACTTAACATTCCTTCTTAAACACTTCAAAATCCTACCCTGATGAAGGGATGTCTTCAGGCTGATTATCTGTGATTGAAGCAATAGTAAAACATATTTAAGTAGATGATATTACTCTACAAAATGCAATACTTATATCTGAAGATGCTTCTAGGGTAAGTAATAACTACACTGCTGACATAATTAATGCATCAAGAAATCTTCACCTCCTTTGAATTTATTGAATAAAAGAATGGAAACAATCATTAGCATTTGATACCTAGAATCAAATGACCATGTACAGTGATCATAATCCCAGTGAACTATTAGACTGAAGGAAAATACTACTATTGCCAGAATCAGTACCAGCAAAGAGAGTAGTTTGTCTGGAAAAATGGTCTAGGGTCACTTGAATACAAAATAAATATTTTCTTGTGACACAACAATGCTTCTCCAAGTATAAAGCTGAATTTGTTCAGGTAAGGATAAAAGAAGCTATCAGAGAAGCTGAGGCAATGAGCATTGTACCTTTCAATCTCCCCTGAAATGATGGGAACTGTTCGAGACAATGTTTCTCACATATACTCAAGGAATTGGAAAGACAGCTAAAGCAAAAATCAATGCTGCCCACCCTCCCTGATTTCTTCTGGGGTTAGGTGGTCATGAGCACTTTTTTATCTGGCTGTAATTCTCATTCTAACCAATGATGCAATAACTTAGAAACTCAATTGCTATTGTTGCCACCCTTGGAAATAACTATGGGTAAGATCACCTCATTCAGAACACATCCACTGTGCATATTGTGCATAAGAAGAAGTTTAAAAATATGCACTTGAAGACAAGGTCAGAGAAAGTTGCTATGGAAGGTGAAATGATATAAAATTATAGGTGCATACCTAGGTGTGTTCATATATATCATTTAATAAATCACTAAAATTCTTTCCATTGAGATAGAAAATTAGTTTTTCTTTTATATGAAGCAAAAAAGACAATGCAGTGAGATTGTATTGGCATTACTCTCGAGAAAGTACTTTCATTCTGTTGGCTGGTTTTGTGTGTCAACTTGACACAAACTGGAGTCATCAGAGAGAAAGGAGCCTCAGTTGAGGAAATGCCTCCATGACATTAGCTGTAAGGTATTTTCTCAACTAGTGATCAATGAGGGTGCAGCCCAGTGTAGGTGTGGCCACTCTTGGACTGGTCGTCCTGGGTTTCATAACAAAACAGGCTGAGCAAACCATGTGAAGCAAGTCAGTAAGCAGCTCCCCTCCATGGCCTCGGCATCAGCTCAGGCCTCCAGGTTCCAAGCCTGCTTGAGTTCCTGTCCTGACTTCCACTAATGATGGACTATGGTCTGGAAGTGTGAGCCAAAAAACCCTTTCCTCTTCAACTTTCTTTTTGGTCAACTTTCTTTTTGGTCATGGTGTTTCATTGCAGTAACAAATTGTAAAACAGTAACCATTGTTGGGTAAGTTTCTTCTACTTTCCATCCCATTCCCCATTACTTCTAGCTCCAAATCCATATGCCTTGTTTTAGACATGCAGGAGGCATGGCCTCCATGTTTCCTAGTTTCTCAACTTTCTCTGCAAACTCACAAGCCTATTCTGGAACCAGGGCTATGAATCCTCTGTTTGTGAGCCACATTTGCTGGATAAATCAATTCTTTCACTTCCTGTCCCCCCTACCATTCCTATTGGGGCCATCTCCATACCCAAAGGCCTAGCTCAAGATCAATGTCTAAAATAAAGACAAAAATTGAAGAAAATTCAATATCCAGTTAGAAATCTCAGAGGAAAGCCTTGCCAATATAAGGAATCAGGCAAAAGACAGAATATCAGGATATGAAGATAAAGTAGAAGGTCTAGATGAAATGAACAAACAATATGAAAACATAAAAGGCACATTAAAGAACCACGAAGAAAATATGAGACATCATCAGAGTCATGTCTTTGAATTTATAGGAATAGATGAGGGAGAATAATTCTAGGTCAATTTCACAGAACACATTTTTAACAAAATTACTGAGGAAAACTTTACCCAAGTAAGTGTAATGAGCATTCTTCCCACCAGTCTGGTCCCAGAGCTGCATCAGTCCCAAATGAGCACATAGGACACTATATTAATTATGAAGCTGTTGGCTGTTTGTTATGGTTTCTTGTTGGCTAGCTCTGACTTAATTATTAACCTATAACTACCAATATATAGTTCTACAAAGTCTTATCTTACCAAGGACGCCAACCTCATGCGTCCTTTCTTCCCAGGATCACATGGTGACTCTCTATTCTTGACTGCATTTCCCAGATTCCTCTTCAACTACTAGTCCCACCTATCTTGCTTCCCTATTGGCCAACAGTGCTTTATTTATCAACCAATAAGAAAACATATACACAGAAGGACTTCACCCATCAAGTAAAGATACAAGAAGCAATCAGAATCATGACTAGACAAGACCTGAAAAGAAATACCACAAAGCATATGATATTTAAACACCTGATATACAGGACAAAGAAAAATATTGAAAGCTGCAAGAGAAAAAAGACACACATCACTTAGAAATGAAAACCCATCAGAATAACAGCTGATTTCTCAAATGAAACTCTGAAAGCAAGGAGAGTCTGAAGCAATGCACTTCACATACTAAAGACCATGTATGCCAATCAATGCTCCTGGACCCAGTGAAACTGTCTGCCATAGCTGAAGGAGAAAGAAAACCTTTACATGAAACATCCTAAAATAATCACATCAAATTAAAAAAACCTCTAAGCAGAATAGTACGTAGAATACTTTCAACTGAAGAGAAGAATAAATTTAACTAGAAACCTTTAGAAAGCAAAGAAAAAGCTTTAATTTAATAAAATACAAAGGATAGCTAACAATACAAGACAGCAAGAAAAAAAGACTACAAACTACACACACCTTTCAATAATGTTCAAATATTAATGGCCTCAACACTCCAAGAAAAAGACAAAATCTACCTAAATAGATTAAGAAACAAGCAAAAATAAATCATCTTGGTTTTAATACCAGACACCATCTTACAATGGAAGAATGGAGAAGGTATTCTAAGAAAACAGTGTCAGGAAGCAAGCAGGTACTGCCACCTTAATACTTGGCAAAATAGACTTCAAACTAAATGAACAGAAGAGACAAGGAAAAGCACTTTATATCAAGAAAATATTACAATACTTAAAATAAATGCACCAAGTTTTGGTGAATCCACCTTCTTAAGAATCAGATTGAGAGAATTAAAGGCACAGAAGAGCATGAATTCAATAGTAGTATGTGATTTCAAAACCACAATTTTCCCAATAGATAGACACAAAGCAGAATGTATGGACCCAAGTCCCAATGGACTCACCTACATCACAACTCCTGTATTTATGACTCAGGGGACATCACAGAAGAGTCAGGTGGAAAGAATGTAAAAGTTTGGAAGTCTTATTGTGAAACAATCTTTCATAGAAATGGCCTTATAAAAAAGATCTTAACAAATACAGTAACAAAAGACATGCTAGCAAAGAAGGAGTGAGGGGATCTCAGAGGGTCATGTGCCTGGATAAGGAACTACAGAAAATTAACAACTGCTGAGGCCGTAAGAGTTAGTATCTATCAGGGTTGAGCCCCCTAACTGGTAAAGGGAACACTCATTCACTAGTGGTGGGAGTGCAAACTTGTACAGTCACTAGGGAATGCAGTGTGGCAGTTCTTCAGGAACCTGAGAATAGATCTGTCTTAAGATCCAGTTATATCACTCATGAGCATATTCCCAAATAATATACTATTATAGAAAATCAGAACATGTCTTACTCCAACCTTTCTAATCTAAGGAAGGACTATAGAGAATGAAATTGATGAAGACTTACCTAAGGAGATATTGTGTTGACTTGAGAGTAGTGTGTCCTCATATTCTAAAATTATACTCTTTCTTCCATGAACAGAAATGTTTGTAATAACATTACTAATTTAATACTGATAGGAAAACATTTATCAATATATCAAATTCTTAAGTATTAACAAGTATCAGGGATTTTTGTCAGAACATTTTGCTATATCCTTCAAGTTTATAAGCTCTAAAACTTTTTATAAAGTTTCTCACTGAAGAAGGAAAGAATAAAGTGAAATGTTGAGTCAATGTCAATCCAGCCCAAACCATCTAGATTATCTTGACAGGATAGAATGTACCCTGATACTAGGAGGGTTCCTAAGTCTCTTGTTCTGGGACAGTGTTTTTCTTAGGCTCCAAATTGCAGGTTTTACTACTTGAGTTCACCAGGTTGCTATGAAAATTTCACCACCTAAAAATATGCACAGAAGTAGTAAAATGGTATATAATTTTCTTCTCAATATTGAAATGATTAGAATCTCAAATGAAAATCACTGTGTATTTCATCAATGGGCCTAATATTAAATGCTACAAATGTAAGATATTATTATTACTGAACTAAAGAGTTAGCTCAAGCTGAGAACAATAATGAATTTCAAGACATGGGTTGGTTTATTGCTGTTTTCCTTTTCTTGACAATGAAATACTAAGGTAGCTGATTTTTGTCATATTGATTCTGAATCTCCATGCTTATCCCCAGCTGATACAAAAGACAAAGTCATCTTTCATACGTGCATAAGCATACTAACAAGATGTAATGGGACTTAGCTATGAAATACATTTTGTAGAATCTAGATTCAAAGAATTGCACTCATTGCCTTCCCTCTAGGGCAGAGTTGAAAAAGATCCTGAACTCTTGAGGCACAGATTCAAAGTGTCTTGAGAAATGTTCCTTGATATGGAAGAAACACTTGGTAGACCAATGACTTCCTGTCACCTTTCCTGAGGAAGGTGATAGACATCTGTCACAACCACAGTCTGTGCTACAGAGGAGGATACAAAGAAATCCTTGTGTTCAGATCTCTACTATTACAGAGGGAAGGCATCTCTGGCCTCTTTCTGCAAAGGTTTGGACCCATTTCAGGACAGGAGACTTCTCCAAAGGAACGTACTGTGATGATCTTATAGTACATTGGAATGTTTTAAATACGTGGTAAGATTCAGTTGCCTATTAATGAGTGTGGGGGAATCTTAGAGTCTTGACTGCCAGAGTACAGTACTATTGTAATGGGAGTCATTCTGAATTTACAAACACTTGAGCATGGACTACCCCCAGCTCTCAAGGTTCCATAAATATTGTAATAGACGAGATCACAATCAGGAGGTGTGCCCTGATAGCTGAGGTTAATCAGCACCAGACTGAAGAACAGGCTTAATCACATTAAATCCCCATGAACAAATGATGATTAAGTTCCTTATGCTTGCCACATCTATATGACACATGTAAGAGTTTTGACTTCTAGGACTTAGGGAACTTATTAGGTTGTTGGGAGTAGGAGGACCAAAATGTTTCCCAGAGGAAAGTAGCAGGATTTAAGTTTAACTACAGACTTTGAGACTCAAAGAAATAATTCAAAAAATAAAATTCTACACCATGCATGAATATTATACTGGAATGAAATGGAGGATGCTGGTATTTCCAAAGGTAAAGAAAGTTCTTAAGCTTCAGAAAGAGAGGCTAGGGGTGCCATTCAGTGGTAAAACATGTGCCCAGTACATTCAGGTCCCTGGGTGTAATTCTAAGCCTCACCATAACACAAATCAGCCATGAGATAGAATCCCATGCACTCACTGCTACTTCTGAATAACCTATCCTTTTGCTTGTTGCTTGGGAGGTGGAGTTGACTAAAATACCTCCATTCCAAAACTATTTAAACAATGAAGTCTCACCTAGTGTAAAATACAACATTTTCAAATAATTTGTAACAAAATTCAGTGTTAATTAGTATTTTAATGTGTATACTTACACTTTGCGTTTTCCTGCTTTGGCATACTGCAAAGCGTTCCATCCAAATGCATCCGTTGAGGTATGATCAATACCTTTCTTCAGTAAAAGCTCAACGATAGCTTCAGAATCCCATTTAACTGCATACATGAGCGTTGTTCTAGAATGACAGAGACAATTAAATTACTTAAACAGCAAATTTAGTATATTTTTACCAGTTCCATGTATGGCCTTTGTGTGTGTAGCACTGAACATCTACTAACCATGCTTAAGCATCTTGAAAGCTCAGAGTTCAGTTTTTAAAGTATTGTTCAAAGAGAGAAATTTAAAGCAAAGAGTCATCCAACCTATGCTTTTAACTTTTATACATAATAGAAGAAATTAAATTACAAAGTTATTAAGAATTTCATGATGACATAATGGTGTTCAATTAGTGTTTTTTAAAACACTAATATGAAATTTATCTGCTCATATAGGATATTACAGACAAGGTAAGATTCTAAATAAGAAAAACCTCATAATAGGGAATATGAACCTGAATATATATTCTTTGCTATAATCATTTCAATAAGATATTTTTTATTATAACTGATGTTTTGTTGATATATCTAGCATATTCCTATAATATTTATGCTTTAGTGATTTTTACTATATCACAAGTAGTGTCCTAAAAAGTCAAAACACAGTACCTTTTATAAGCATCATGTACATAAATGTTTGCACCATGAGTTATTAAATGTTCTGCCATGAGGAGTTTCCTTTCTCTGAGTGCTAGCAACAGAGGTGTAAATCCATCCTGCAATTACATCAATGAATAATTCACAATACTGCATATTTTGTAACTGAACTGAAAACCACATGGCTAACCCTGTGAACATGTTTACCATAGACTAGAGAGCAGTAGAATTTTATTTCTTGGCCCACTGTGCATTCTCACATTCTCAGCATTGCAGTAATCCAACCAACCCTTTACAGTTATCTCAAGACATCTAGTCTTCTCCAATACTCATGTGAAACACTTTTGTCCCCTGAAACACTGGTTCCTGTCACAGTATTTGTCGTGGTATTTTGGAGTCCCAATTAATCAAAGTTTCCCCGAGTGTATCTCAAGAGATGCAAAGCAAGCAGCAAAGGTTTTCAATCCTTTTTTACATGGATGGGCTACATTTTCTTCACTGACAGAAGTTCTGCATTTCAAAAGACATGTGGCAGATGCACCATTTTCCAACAGAGAAATTTGATTGAGAATGATGGCACCAACCCAGCCACAAAATGTTCGATTTACAATCTGTCCTGCCTGAAAGATTCGCTGGGACCATGGTGATCCAGAGTTTGTGGGAGAGGCCAACCAATGACAGGTAAAATTTGAGACCCAGGCCATGAGAGGGAACCCATGCCTGACACAGCCTGGATGACTAGAAACTGGAGATTGGAGAGCCCAAAGACCTTGAAAAAAATCAGTGGAATGATTCCTAATTCTGCTCTACTCAGTGCCTAGCCCAGTCATCATCAGGGAGGCTGCCTCAGCAGCTAGTGGGAGCCAAACTTTAGGTAGAGAGAGAGAACCCAGGTTGAAGGCCTCCATTGGAAACCTTCACCTGGAGCTCAGGGAACCCTGAAGAACAGGGGAAGGAAGAATTGTAGGAGACAGAAGGGTTGAGCACACAGGGAGAGCAAGGCCCAAAGAATCAACTAAGTAGGGCTCATGGGGTCTCACAGAGCGTAACACGGTGCATACACGAGTCTGTGCTAGATACGATGCATACACGTTATGGTTGTTGGCTTTGTGTTTTGGAGGGACGCCTGAGAGTGGGAGTGGGGGGTTGTTTCTGACTCTTTTGCCTGCTCTTGGAACCTTATTGCTTCTATTGGGTTACCTTGCCCAGTCTTGATATGAGGTTTTGTGCCTGGTCTTATTGTATCTTGTTGTGCTTTGTTTGGTTCATATCCCTGAGAGGTCTGCTCTTTTCTGAGGGGCCACATGGAGGTGAGGGGAAGAGGGTGGTGTTGATGAGGCTGGGGGTGTGGATCTGGAGGAGAGAAAAAGGGGAGGGGGACTTGGAGATTTACAGGGAAAGGAAGATGTGGCTGAAATAAAGGAAGAAATAAAAATTAAAAATTGTGACAAAACTGTGGAATTGTCCAACATTTGAAAAATGTTTTCCAAAATACTGTTTGGCAAGCCTTCTGTGAGGCCACCATTAGCAACAGCAGAAGTAATTTAAGAGGCACAATTACTAGAGACCAGTAATGACATGGAAGCTTCCTGAGGACACAGAGGAAGCTCTGCTTGATTCTGTGTTGGGAAAGGTCTTGGAGTAACAATGTCAGGCTCTTTCTCCAAATAGGTCACTGAATAAATGGACTCAAAATGAGTGAGGCCTCAGAGAAACTTTGCTTACCTTAAAATGGATTCTGCCTACTTATAAGATGAAAGCCCTCTAAGTGTTTCAAAAGCCCAAAACATAATTTCTAAAACTGTTTTTCATTTAAGCTATTTGTTTTATAAGTTCTTACATGAAGACTATATTTATATGATTTCTACCCCATTGCTTCTCCAACTCTTCTGTGCTTCCCATTCCCTCTCAAATTCATGACCTTTTTATTACTGTCACACACGTGTGTGTATATAAACAACCTACTAATTCCACTTAATGTTGCACCTCTGTCTGTCTGTCTGTCTGTCTGTCTGTCTGTCTCTCTCTCTCTCTCTCTCTCTCTGTGTGTGTGTGTGTGTGTGTGTGTGTGTGTGTGTGTTTACAACTGAACTTTGGGGTTAGAAAACCTATCAGGAAGGAAGTTTATCCCCGAAGAACAATGAATTTTTCTCTCATAAATCTAGCATAGTGGGCAACTCTTCATTTAGGGGGTGGAGCTTTTATAGTTTCTACTATCAGTGTTTACATGTCAGTTGGTGATTACATTGTGCTGGTCTTATTTAGGCAACCATATTTACTGAGATTTCATAGGTGCAATATCCTTGTCACATCTAGAAGACACTACTTGCAGCAGCCATCCTGGTCTGTAGACTTCACAGTATTTTAGGACACCCCTCCATTCTCAGTGTTCCCTGAGCCTTAGGCATTATATTATAGATGTGACCATTGTGTCTAGGCTCTCATGGGCATGTACTCTCTGCATTTTGAGATGTTGTAGGTTTCTATTATGCTCTCTATCTGCCGCATTCTGTCTGTTTTGTGCCTAAGTCTGAGTTACTGAGTGACTGTAGTGTTCTAAAGATAGAACATCAAGACCAGTGAAATCAAGGGTTTAGTGATAGACAAAGCATTGCTTTATTTCTGATTTATATTTTATTTAGAAAAACAACTTAAGCAGTAATCAAAATGGAGCAATAAACAGTAGATGATTCAGATGTGATGGAAAAATTGTAAACCCATCAAGGGAATGAAGGGTGTTGAAGAGGATCATGACTTCTAGGTTAATCTGGGCTAAATAGTGAGACTTAAATTAAAAACCTAAATACTTGAAGTCTATCATGATTTTAGGATTATCATTGTCAGTGATATTAAAATCATCTATTGTAGTATACATAGATGTTATGCCACAAGGGGTGAAAAAGCTTTCCTTAAACCCATAACTAATAAAATAGCCAAAGCCAGGCAATGGAAAACTTCTCTGGAATTATTGCCACTCCCAAAGGTTTCCCAAACAATATAAGCTATTGCCACTGCTCTTGGTTGCCTCCCATAACTTGAATGTAAGATCCTGTTACAGACAAAGGACTGGAAGGAATCGAGATGGAACTAACCATGGATTCTTTCCCAAGGACTAGTTCTCATAGAGAGTGAGAGGGTTCTATGAAAGCTGCCCAGGGAGTAAACTAATCATCAGACATCCTAAATTGATGCCAAAAGCATCAAGACACAAGAGCAGTAGACCCAAACACTTGTGTAGGCAAAACATGTGTAATGAGGAGCTATTGCTGTGGTTTGTTAGCAAATAGAAAACACTTGGATGCTAGATCCTGGAGGTGTTCCCTGCAGGGCTCAGTGGAGATAGGATTGGATTTCTTAAGATCAGGAGGAGGACGGAGCTTTCTGGAGACTGTGTATGCATTAGATTTATGGAGGGTATATATGAAATTCACTGTCTCCCTAGCTCTTTAGTTTGTTTGTTAAAAATTTAACCTTTGATGCATGTGCACACATCCATTGGTATGTGGGCAAACCAAGTATTGGTAGTGCAATCTACCATACTGTAACATAACCCTAGTATAGTAAAGTCATTGTGGTGATTACTTTTTACCAACACCAACTAGTGTGACCTAGGAAGAAAGTTTCAGTTGAGGGATTGTCTACATCAGTTTGACAAATGGATATGGCTCTGAGAAATTATCTTGATGGTTAACTGATGATCTATTGTGGCCCCAGTCTATTTTGCTTGGCACCATAGTCCGGTTTGGGAACAGGGCTCTTTGTAAGATTTCAGAGGGCAAGCTAAATTAAGCAAACAGGCAGCATGAATTCACTCATTTCTAGCCCTCTTGAGATTACATGAGTTGTGAACAGCTGTCTCAAGATCCTGCCTCTGTGATTTCCCCAGTAATATACAGTAACCTGGAACTGTTAGTCACAGAAACTTTTTCACAAATATTTTCCACAGATGCATAAAAGTAAGCTGTATTCTCCAATAATCCTTTCAATAAGTCAACATTTATTTTCTTCCCCATTTAAAATCATTTTTGAAGATATCCACACAACGATTTTGTTCACATTTAACCCGTTTCCTCAACTACTTCCCAAATCTAACCCATTCCTCTACCCAGCTGTCTTTATGTCCTCATTGATAGAACCCTCCCCTCAAGTCTCAGGAGTCACTGCAGAAGATCAGGGGAAAGACTAAGAGCCAGGGAAACTGGATGGGCACAAAGAAACAGTGTCTTCTAGGCACAACAGAGCAGAGGTAGATAAGACATCACAGTCACTGTGAAAACATTCACAAAAACTGTCCGAGTAAAGAGATACAAAATTCAGTATGAAGACAGGAATTTAGCATGAAATTCTGCTCCTAGTTGAGGATTTATTGACAATTAACAGCTGCTGGGAGGGGCTAGTCATTTTTATTAAAGGTGTGGCCCCTTATAGGCTGATCATGTTCAAGTGGATGGTTAAATACTCAAGAGTATATGGACTGCACAGTGGGACTCAATAGGTTAGGAAACAAACAGTAACAAAGTGTCAATATTTAGACCAATATCTGTCAAGTTATTTCAAAGTGTCAGGCAAGGATAGTTGAACTTCTAAACATGGAAAATTGCCCCTACACATGGCGTTTTTAAAGTACTTAATTTTCAAGTACTTGCGAATTCAATTTGGAAAATCTTTACCTTTGTAGTTTCTTCGATATTTCCCCCAGATTCAATAAGATAGGTGGCAATGTCTGGCCTGTCTACATACACTGCGTGATGTAATGCTGTTTCTCCCTTGGCATCTTTAATGTTGGGATCTGCTTCGTTATCAAGGAGGACAGAAACAATCTTTGTCTCCCAGCTTTGTACAGCCTATGGGTATTATAACAAGGAAAACATTGTCAATTCAAAGAATTCAACAAAAATGGCCCCCAACATCCCCTCTTCACTGTGACTTATATTTAAGTGACATTAATTTTACTTGTATGCTATTTATATAAAGTTCATTCCTGAAATTGAAGTACCTTCATCAGTGGTGTGGACCTGTTGTCATCACATGCATTTATGTTGCACTCATTTTGTAAAAGTAATTGAACCAGATTAAGATGACCATAAAAACAGGCGAAGTGGAGTGCAGTTCTGTGGAAATGATACATATTTTTAGTGAAACTGTAGGGCATTATGTCAACATAGACTCATGCATTTGCAAATATCATATAACATTTAGGGTCTCTGACCCACAAACAAATATTTAATTTTTTATAAATTTATATTTGTTTGTGGTTATTATTTACTATTTTGGGAAATTTCACTATATATAACTTTTATGGTAGTGTGAAGACAACCCACAGCTCTTGCAGCTAGGTAGCTAAGAGCAGCCTATTTGAACAGAATGAACAGGACTATCGGGTTGAAACTCCTATCCTGTTCTAGGATCCATTACAGACCAACTACTTCTTAGTCTTTCTGTGTTGTGATTTCCTTGTCCCTCAAGTGGGTGTTAAAAGCAGTACTTCTCTCCTATCACATTAGGATGCATCAATAAGAATCATTGCAATGAGTCAGAAAATATTCTTGAATAACAGTTAAAAATCTGCTAGATATTTAATTCTTTGATGTTAACTCTGTAATATATTCCAAGTCAATGTTAGCCCCATTATATCTATTTTGCAAATATATTAAGGACTATATATTTCACACGGTCTAAGATAATCTTTTCAAAACTTGAAGCATGGTTTGCTTTAAATTTATGCTCCTGCTGCAATAACCTCCAGGTAGCTGGGATTGTAGATCTGACACAGTACCCAGCTTAGGATTCTGTTTTTCTCAATTTTTAACTCATTTAAAATTGGAAAATCATTTACAATTCATAATGACAACAATTATTGCCAATACTTAAAAACAAGTCCAGTGTCATCATGCAATCCATGGTGTCTTACACTAAGTGAAATGTGACAGATACTCATGATATTCCTAGTCTTTACACTGATTTTTTTTAATGCTAGCTATGAAAGTACTATGGATAATAGCAAAATCTAAATGCACAGAAAGCTTTGCTTGATTTTTAAGGAATTCAAACCAAAGGGAAATTGGAGTTCAAATCAGTAAGTGTGGCTCATTCTTTACAATAGTTAAATTCATACGCCATAAGAAAATCAGATATTTGCTATGCCTAATGGCAGTATCTAATAGTAATTTCACAAGGGAGACTTAGGACACAGTGGGCCACCTCAAGTTGGGCCCAAATTGGAAAAGCAAGATGAGTTTGCTGCTTTGTAAGTTATGAAACTCCTACCAAGCTTTATTCTCCTCTACCAGGAGTAACTAAAGATGTCAGAAGTAACTTGCAGATAGCCTGGAGCTTGTCAGCCATTGGTGTTATGAAAACCGTGGCTAATCAAGGCAGTGCTGAACTTAACCCTTCAGAATGATATGAAGTAACAAGGGGGATGCTAAAGAGAAACAACAAATCTGGGAAATCTATGGACATACAAGGATGACACCTCTAGGACATTAGTGAGAAAAAACAAGAAAATGATAAGGGAGGAGCATACAGCCATCTTTCAAGATTCTTTTTTGTATTATTTCTTCACTAAGGAATATAAATGTTAGTACACATTAATGTAAAATTCATATTGAATTTTATTTGGACAACTTTAGGTGAAAGAAGATGTAAACATTACATCTGGGATGGAAAAGTATCCTGGCAGTCAGGAGCAAGGAGCATCACAAAGTCCCATCATACAACAAGTCTGACACAAGAGATTGGGATGGGAAAAAACCAGGAGGGCAGCTTCCTCTGCTTTGTGCAAGGAACAACAGAGAACTGAGCCAAAGGAAGAATTTATAGAGTTTGTTGGTGAGGGAGGTGGAACTTTTCAGGGTGAAGCTTTCCCTGGTGGAATTCAAGTCCAGAGATTATGCTTTTTACTCCGGCCGGTAGGGGCAGAGCCTAGCAGTTAGGGCAGTTAGAGTATTCTGTGATGGAACCTAGAAGTTGGAGGGGGCGGGAGCTTTTGCAATTTATAAACATTGTGTTTATTGTGTACATTGAAGTTAAATCTTTTTTCTTTACATTTTTTATGTTACTCTAGTGCATATTCAATACAATGCCCTCTAGGGGAGTTATGGGGAGACGGTAAACCTGCTGGAAAGTTGGTCTCAGGCTTTCCTGCCCCAGAAGATGATCTGGGCACTGGATTGCTCTGTGATCACAGGTGCCACAGAGACTGCGGCACAGATTCCAGCCTTGTTGTCCTCAATGGAGCTAGGAAAGGTAGGATTCTCCCGTCACCGGATTTTCTCATGGTCCATCATCCTTAGCTTTTAACCGTTCTCACCGTTTCCTTTCGTCCTGGTCATTTACGTGAAACTTCTTCTTAGAGAGGAGACGCAACACCAGTTTGGTCCTTCCTTGACACACTGCTTCATGAAACTTATTCTCCGGGTCATAGGGATGTTGGTATCTATCCTCCGTACTACAGTCACAACAGGACAAGCTCCCCTTTCCACTGCTCGGGCCATCACAAAACCCCAAAGGAGTTTTTGTCTCTTTCTTGAAGCAGAAGAGCTTCCTGAAGGTGGTGAACATCACTGTGGCTACCTTTTGTCTGCTCAACACTAAGTATCTTTAAGAAATGTGAACTTTTAACTACTGGTTGTCAAACTACCAGAGCCTAACTCTGTGAGTCCCAGAAATGATGAGCTCTGGCTTGACCAGTCTAATGGAAGTCTACAGTTATGAACAGCCGTTGCTAAGGAACATTGGTAAACAAAAGCCTGTCTAGTCTTCCTCGAGGATAACATCTCAGGAGGCAAAGTACTCAGTGCGCATGTGCAGTGTAAGCATCGCAGTCTTCTTTGGCTAGTCTATGCTTAGTCTGCAAGGTCTTTGTCTCTCCAAAGTCGAAGGGTTGTTTTATTCCCTACAGCAATCTTGCATGGCAGTTGACTTGTTTGGGCCATGTAAATCTTCATTCTAAAATCTTTTCTTGTCTGTTTTTTTTTTCTTCTCTAAGAGGTAATGGATGAGTTTGCCTTTCGATGAAAATGGAACTTCTCTCTTGAAGATTCTCTCTGGGTGGTTTTCGTTTGGTGTTTTTGGAATTTTCAGTGTACTGAAAGCTTTGAAGTTATACTTTTTGTGAGCCCGGGAGTGGAGGCACATGCTTTTAACATGATTATAATAAACTGCTGAGATGTTATTTCCAGCCATGGCTGTTGGAATTCTAAATGTCTTCTCTATAGCCTGGTCCATATATTTCCCTTGATGTGGGGAACCTTCTGCTATTATCTCATAGAACATGCTTTCTATCCCTGAGTATCTCTAGGGTCAGATGTTTATATTTGGTCACTGCAGTGCTTTTAGTGAGACTGTCCCACACAGGTTCAGATATTTGAGCACTTGGTCCCCGGTGGTGGTGCTATTTGGAGAGGTGGCAGTGCATTTCGGAGATGGGGTGTTGATAGAGGACATGTGTCCCTGGAGGAAAAGTCCCAATGAAGCATTCCGGCTGCCCCTGTTTCTTTGTGTTCCCTGGAAGTCATCAAAGCATAAAGCATAAAGAAACTTTGCTGGACAACAAATGATGTCTTTAAACATCATTCTTACCCTGTATAGCTTGCATGTATCATTGTATCCTGGCAACTACCATTGTATTGGTCCTGGCAGCATCCATTGTATTCTGAGTCTTTAAGGCTATAAAAAGTCTGATTGCTTGCACTAAACTTGTCATAGCCTCAGTCTTGCAGGGTTCCCTCCAACATTACCTGGTTAAGTTTAATTTCTCATCAGTCATAGCAGTTAACCTTGGCTCAGTAAGTAAGTGCAGGAACTTACAATGGGATACATAAAAAGTTGTAAGAAACTTCCATTCAGTAGTTGAAGTGTTGTCTATGAGGCATGGCTCATACAGGATGAGTAAATTCTATTTTGTAAATGCATACTCACTACTACACACTATTGACCTACTTTGAGGATCTATTGTCTAGGAATAAAAGATATATTTTCCAAGCACATGGTCTCCTTATGTGATTATCAGCCAAATGCACTGTCACACGAAGACTTAGAGTTGATTTCCAAACAGAAGTTGCAAAGATGTGGCATTCTTTCAGTCCATGAGCTAAGAGTCTATGATGAATGCTTCAACAAGATTCTATTTCAGATCTAGATATTTCCTATACCTCATTATACATTCATTATAAATTAGAGAATTTATAAAATGCAGTTCTTACAAAGTTAGAGAAGAGTGTGCATTTTGTCCCATCCAATTAGACAAGCTTTGTTATGATTCATCACTAACATAGGAGAAACAGATTACTCTTATGAGTGTGCATTCATTTTTGGCCATTACAGGTCATCTGTGACCACTTGGTTTTGTGGAAAGAAGACATTTCTGAAATGTAGTACCAGTGATGAAGGAAATTAGAGAAGAACTTTCCATTTCATGGGAAACATTTTGTGATAAATCTTTCACCTCAAAGGAGAAATGTCCATCTTACATTCACATATAATCAATAGCACTTTAAAGGTTTGTACACACTGTGGTTTAAGGAGCTGGATAGAGTATTTATAAAATGCAGTTATAAATACATACATATTAATAAAGCATCCACAATACAATTTCTACACCTACAGCACAGGGAACATCACCAGAAAAGAGGTGGAAAAGTTATAAGAGTAAGAGTAAAAAGAAGTCAGATAAGCGTTTGTCTTTTATGTGTGACAGCTAGTATGTCAACAATATGGATGCTTAAAGAAGACATGAATAATGAAACCATCAGGTGACATGTTAATGTGAATGGGGAAATCTCATAGGCATTTATAGAGAAGAAGCTACAGGAAATTAAGGACTACAAAAAGAATTTGTCACTTCCAGAGATGAGTGTCTTGACAGTTTATCTAGTAGACTTAAAAACATACACATACTAGGAACACAAAACAGACTCAGCACTACGCATTTATATATTTTCCATTAACAAAAGGAGGCCATGAATTTGAGAGAGTGCACAAAAGAAGGTAAGTCACTAAAGGGTGAGGAGGGAAGAAAATGAAGTAATTGCATTTCATTTTTAAAATTCATGGACTTGTAAATATGGGGAATTCTCTGAAAAGCCCTTGAGTGTTTTGTCTTTGATCCACCACATGCAGATTCTGTCTACTAACTAGCTCGTTTATTATTCACTGTTGGTCTATGTGCAGCATTATAGCAAGCCTGAGCCTTAATCCTAACCCTCAGATCAAATTCTGAATGGACTCTAATTTCAACCATCTAACCTTAGTCCTAATCATACCACAAAACATAGTCTTAAATTCAAAAATGGGACCACAGTGCTTCAAAAGACTAAGGAAAGCATTGAGATTAACCACACGATCATCTCAAGAGACTTAGAAAAAGCCTTTGACAAAATCCTATATACCTTCATGATAAAGTTCCTGGAGAAACTAGGGCTAGAAGGAACATAGTTAAATATAATAAAGGCTATTTATAGCAAGCTGACAGACAACACCAAACTAAAGAGAAACTTCAAAGCAATTCCACTAAACTGGGAAATAAGACAATGGTGTCCATTTTATACCAACTTTATTGAATAAATACTTAGAATCTTAGCTAGAGCAATATGAAAAATAAAGAAGATTTAAGGAGATAGAAATAAGAAACAAAGAAGTCAAAGCATCTTGATTTCCAATATGATTTTATGTATTTGTGACCTTAAAACTCTACCATGAAACCTCAACAGCTGATAAATCCTTTCAGTAGAGTAATAGGATAAAAAACTAACACTTAAAACTCAGTAACCTGCCTACATAAAAATAAAAAATGGACTAAGAAAGTAATCAGGAAAACAGTACCTTTACAAATGGGCTCAAAAATGTCTTGGGGGTAACTCTTGTCAAGCAAGGGAAAACCCATATAATAAAATCCTTAAGACAGTGAGGAAAAAGATTAAGGAAGATATCAAAAGATGGAAAAATGTCTCATGTTCATGGATTAGAAGGATAAATATATTAAAAGTGATTTATAGATTCAAAGTAATCCCCATCAAAATCCCAACACAATTCTTCAGAAAAATTGAAAGAACAACTTTTACCTTCAGTTGGAAACAGGAAACACCCAGGGTAGCTATAACATTCCTGATAATAAAAGAAGCATTTGAGGTATCAGTATTGACTATTTAAACTATACTACAGAGTTGTAGTTAAAAAATTGCACAGTTTTGGCATAGAAGCAGACACGTTGAATTGAATCCAATTGGAGACCCAAGCATTAGTCCATACACCTTATGGATACCTGATTTTTGATAAAGCAACCAGAAGTACACACTGTAAAAAAGACAGCATCTTCACTAAATGGCGCTGTTTGAATTGAATGGTCTCATGTAAAAGAATACAAAAAGATCTATATTTATAACCCTTCACAAAACTCAACTCTAAATTGGTCAAGGACCTCAACACAAGGTCACAGGTCCATGAATCTCATAAATGAGAAAGTGGCTAATATTTGCAAACTCCTTGGTACAGGAAATGACCTTCTGAACAGGATACTGATAGCATAGGTTGCTAAAAACAACCAATTGATGAGATGCCATGAAACTGCATATCTTCTGTGCATCAAAGGAAACCAAAATTTAGACAAAGCGGCAGGCTACAGAATGGGAAAAGATCTTTACCTATCAAACATCCAATAGAGTGCTAATATATTTTAAAATATTTTTAAAAACTTTTTTTAAACAAAGGACATCAAGAAAACAAATAAACCAATTTAAAAAATGAAATACAGAACTAAACAGTTTTCAAATGATGAAATACAAATGGTCCGAGAAATAAATGTTCATCATTCTTAATCAGCAGGGGAAAGTTAATCAAAACTGCTTTGAGATTTCAACTCATAGAAGGACCAAGAATGATTTGAGATTTAAATTGACACAATTAAGAAGGACCAAGAAACAAATGACAGTTGATGTTGGTGAGTATGAAGAGCAATGAGAACACTCTTCCATTGCTGGTGGTAATGTAAATATTTACAGGCAAGATAGAAATTAATGTGGTAGTTCCTCAAAAAGCTGGGAATAGATCTACAGAAGATCCACCTATATCTCTCTTGGTCATATAACCAAATGACTCTAGATCCTACTACAAGTATAATTGTTCATCCATGTTCATTGCTGCTCTATTCATAATGGCCAAAAATGAGAAATGGGCTACTTGTTTGTCAATGGATAAATGAACAAAGAAAATGTGATGCATTTGCACCAGGGAATATGACTCAGGTAGTAAAAAAATTGAATAACGATTTTTGCAAGTACACGGAAGAAGCAAGAAGAAAATCACTGACTAAGGTAATCTGGACCCAAAAGAAAAATATGATATGTATTTTTATATGTGGATGTTAGCTTTTAAGTATACCATAGGGATGCTACTATCAATATAACTACACTGGTTAGGTGTAGAATAAGGATAGAGTGGGGAAGGAAGAAACTGATAAGGTAGAGGAATAGAATACATGATTATGGAGATACAGACAGGAATACTGGAATGATCAAAAGGAGAGGAAAAGGAAAGAAGTGTGTCATTTAAGGAATACAATAGTAAAAGCTTCTTAAATTTTATACATATGTATGTGAGAAATTTAAACAGAATCACCAATTAACAAGGGAAAAAGGCTCCAACCAGTCTTTTCTTACTACAAAATGTAGCCTTTACTGCCAAAAATAGTTTATATCTAATTGAGATATTATCTTTAGAGGACCAATGGAATGCCCCAAACAACTCAGGCTCTTATTAAGGATATTTGTTGCTTTCTACAAACTTATTGTAATGGCACATCCTGAAATCAACATCAATATCCCTCATTGAACACAGAGATGTCAAATGGTGCTTAGTTAGAGCATTCACCCCTACTCTGTAATGGAACTTAATTAGAGCATTTACTTCTACTCAGTAATGGTGGTCTTTTAGAGCATTCACTCCTACTCTGTCATGGAACCAATTCCTTATACTGCTCAGGTGGCCAAGAATCCAAGACTAGATAGGCCGTGGACCTAGAGGGAAAACCTGCTGAAGAAATGTAATGAAATTCGACTATCCCCTTAGATGAGTGACTCATTCCACCATCCTCTCCGAGAAGCTTCCTCACTTAGTATAAGGGGACAAATACAGATTCCCACAAGACAATGTACAGAGTGGGAGAGATCTTGGGATCCTCAGCCCTAAATGGAATATCGTCATCCCATCCCTCCCTTCTTGGTTTACAGAGGTATGCAGAAGAGGAACCAGACGGATAATATTACCTAGTGGGGATGGAAGATAGGCGGGAAATAGTGTCTCACAGACACTCGAAGTCTGATGCACACATGACCTCACACAGATGGAGAGGGCATGCTCAGAGTCTGCAGTGGGGTCCCAATGCTGAAAGGGAAACTGGATAGAATCCCTCATCTTTAACCCCTAAATTATTGACAATTGACAACTTCTTGCATGGAAACGCTCAGTTGCCTGCAATGGAGCCTCACAGGATATACAGACCACACTAAAGGGCAGGCAGCATGCTCAGCAGTAGATGGCCAACACAAAAATGAACTCGATTGGATTTTTGTACATGTTTTATTTCATAATGCTTTGCTTGGACATTTTTTAATCTTAAGGGTTTTACCATAAATATTTTGGTTTCCAACTCTTATCTTTTTGAGAGTTTGGTGGGTGTGTGTGTATCTCTAAGTATGTATATTAGCTAATGAATTTTCTTTGTTCGTTTTTTTATTCTGGTTTGTGTTTTTTTTCTTTTATCCCCCATATGATTTGTAAGGAGAAACCATGTTGTTGGGTGGGTAGGGGAATGGGGAGGATCTGAGTAGAGATCAGGGAAGGGAAACAATGATCAGAATATATCTTATGGAAAATTGTAGGTTAAAAATGGTATGAAGGGGGAAAGATAATAGCAAACTGAATTTGAAATCACATTAAAAAGGCCACATCATGTCATGACCATGTCACCTTCATCCTAGAGATATTGGGGGAGATCAACATATGTAAATAAATAAATATTACCCCCTCACAAAACAGAATAAAAGTAATTACATGTTCATCTTAATATGTGCAGGAAAGACCACTAACAGAATTCAGTGTCTGGATCCTTATGCTAAAAGTCATGGAGAAGCTATGGATTGTAGGGACATACCTCAATATCATAAAAGCTATGAACAACAAGCCTGTGATCAGCATCTTGGTAAATTGAGAAAAAAACTTAAAATATTCCCACTAAGTGGAGTAGGTGTGGTCTTGTTGGAGGAAGTGAGTCACTGTGGAGGTGGGCTTTGAGGTCTCATAGATGCTCAAGCCACACTTACTTCCTGTTGCCTGTGAGTCAAGATGTAAGAACTCTCAGCTCCCTCTCTCGTACCATGTCTGCCTGCACACTGGCTTGCTTCCCACCATGACGATAATGGACTAAACCTCTGAATGGTAAGTGAGCCACCACAATTAAATAATTTCCTTTATAAGAGTTGCCATGGTCATGGTGTCACAGCAATAGAAACTCTAACTAAGACACCACTGTAATTTCACATGCTATTCTTGCATCATAGGGCCAAGAGTAGCACTGACTGGTAGATGCTTTAACTGTGGCTAAGGTCCAGTGGGGCAGGCTTGAGGCTGTCTCCTCAGCAAGTCAAACCTTCCAATTTGTTCTCAGATCACTGTTGTAATGGGTCAAATATTTAAGCACTAAGGGGGAATGTTCTCTGCTTACTGCTCTATTCCAAGAGCATCCTGCTCCAGTATTAAGTGTTGGGCCCTAGAAAGCTGACAGGAGGCCCCTCACCTTCTCATAAAGCAGCTGAGTTAAACCCTGCTTCTGCCTGTCCTGGAAAGACTCACAGAGCTGGAGCAGCCTGGCACATAGGACTTGTTCTTGATTGAAGAGCGGGTGATGGCTGAACTGCAGGCCCACAGTTAAGATCTAATTGGTACATTTCTCTTTGACCATCCATTCTGCTTCTAAAACAGCATCCCAGGTCTGATTTCACTGCCTTTTAAAGCAAAATGTGTCCAAGTTCATTTGATTCTGTTGCCTTTGAAACCACAAGTAACTTTTCTTATAAAATAACATAGGCATATTTAAACTCCAGAGCTTCGGAACTATAAAGCCAGCAAGTGGCTCATCTTTGAAATTTTCTTTAACTCTTGATTTAATAAAATAGTTTTATGTAAAAATATTCCCACTAAGATAAGAAACAGGACAAGGATGTTAGCTTTCTCCATGTCTATCAGTAAAGAGGTGAAGTATTAACTAGAGTAGTAAGACAAGAAGGAAATTAAAGGATACAAATAGTAAAAGAACTCAAAGTTCCATATTTGTAGACATGATTTTATAAGCTGTAAAGATTCTATCAAAAACTTTAGAGTTGAAAATCACTTTATCAAATTATCAGACTACAATATTAACACACAAAAATCAGTAGCTGCCTTATATACCAAGAACAAACATACTGAAAAATCACTTTGACATACACCGAAAAATAAATGAACCTATATATCTATCATGTGATGGATGGTTACTGTAAATGTAGTACATGTACAAAATAGACTGTCACTCAGCTGTGAAGTAAAATGGAATAATGTAAACTGCAAGGAAATGAATGGCACTGGAAAAAAATGATACTCGCTGAGGCCAACCAGGCTCAGAAAAACAAATGATACATGTTGTCTAACTTTGACACTTTTGTATGTGTAACATTGACTATGTGTAGGAGTCATGTAATTAGATACAAGGGGACTTCTCTCCCCACCTATTTTTTTCTCCAATGGGTTGGGTTTCTTTTATTTTATACAAAATAAATTGGCTTACTTTCCACTGCTCTCTCTCTCTCTCTGCAATTGTTCATAGAAACTGGGTGCAATTTTGCTCATTTTTATTGTTGTTTTGTGTTATTAAATGGTGGCCTCTTTTGCCCCTCCCACATCCCTGCCTGAGTCACTGGGTTTCCCTCTGATCTTGGCTACATTCCTCCAACTGTTTGTTGTGTGCTACTCTGAGTAATATATATATATATATATATATATATGTATATATGTATATATATATATATATAGTCTTTAAGGAGGAAAAGGGGAAATAGATCTAAAAAGTGCGTTAAAAAGTAGGGCGTGGGGTGAAGGGGTCAGCTAGCTGAGGCGGGAGGGTGGGGTGTCACCCGGAGCAGTGGCTCCAAGGACCCAGCCAGGCGCGAGTGAAGTGAAAGAGGATGGCAGGACCTCGGCTGTCCCCCAAATCCCAGCACGGGCCACCCAGATTGGAAATAAATAGACCTGTATATCAGTGGTGCCCAGGGTGGGGTGTGCAGAGGTGCTAGGCGACAGGCAGGACCGGAGCAGGATGGCAAAGGGGACACCCCGTCTTTAGTAAGTGCCCTGAGGAAGGAGGGTGGGGAGCCGGGGACCATTTTGATGTCCACTTACTGTGGACAGAGAGAATTTAAAGTCTGTCTAAGACCCCTAAAACCAATGAGAAAGGAACGGGGCGCCTGTCCTGGGGGTCTCCATCACCTTCACATTAGCCAGGAGCAGGCAGGGGACCTCCGGGTTTGGACCCCACGTGGACCGGGCTAGGGGCATGGGAGCTGGTGGGGCCACGTCCTAAGAATCTGAGAAAGGCAGGCGTGCCTGCAACCACCATGGATATATACGTGCACACAGGTCCATGTGTGGATGGAGTCTGGACAGACAGCTGTGGTTCTGGGGTGGGTGTGGTTTCTCTCTGATCTCTCTTTGTTTTGTTTTGTTTTGAATACAAGTCAGGTTGCAAAGTTACCCTCCATGGCGGCCATTTGGGTGTGTTATGCTGTGATTTTGGTTGCCCACCTCTAGTTCTCAAAGAAGAGTAATTTATAAAATCTTGATACAAAGCCTATTAACTCATATAAGATCATAGAACTATAAAAATGATATAAAGAAAAAACACAGTTAAAGGGGGCATGAATATGGCTATATCAGTTTTTCTATGTATGATTTCACAGAATAGCTTCTTTTAAGCCAAGGTTGATAGCCACTAGTATATTTTTAAGAGTGAGTGTTACAGCTCTGGAGCTGCAAATATATCCTAACTTATCAGGAAGCCAGGCTATCCTAGAGCTGAAATAGGACAGCTCTGGGTGGTAGATCCACAACAGGACAGCTCTGGAGGCTGAACCCTCAATAGGACAGCTCAGCCCTGGAGGGAAAGGTGTCCTGACTTGTCAGGAATCCAGGCTCCCTGAAGTCAGGGTGAGGTGGGGGATGTTCTCGCTGCAGGATATAGCAGTCCTGCTCTTGAGAGCCTTGAAGTTTGAGCTCTGCCCTGTTTCCCTAAGAGAAAGTCCCAGCAGAGTTATCTGCTTCTTCCCTGCAGTCAAAGATGGTACTTCTGCTGCACTCTGCTAGAGAGGAAGCCCCTGGGGAAATGTAGAAGTCTTCTCCAGCTCCGGAGAAAACTTGTTACTTTTTTCTGGTCAACCTTCTCAGCACCCCAAAAGGAAAGTCTTAGCAAGGTTTTTTTCTGCTCAGTCCCCTTAAGGGATGACTCAGCAATGTTGTTCTGCTCAGCATAGGAGAATGGACGAGAACTTGGTAGACCAATGACTTCCTGTCACCTTTCCTGAGGAAGGTGATGGACATCTGTCACAACCACAGTCTGTGCTACAGAGGAGGATACAAAGAAAGCCTTGTGTTCATATCTCTACTGTCAAAGAGGGAAGGCATGTCTGAACTCTTTCTGCAAATGCTTGGACCTGTGTGACAATTCAGTGTATCCACAAACCCATCTCACAGAGGAAAAGAGATTATCTTCTAGGATGCTGAATGTTTTGAATGAATGGTCAGATTCAGATGCCTAGCAATGGGTCTTCGGAAATCTCAGAGTCTTGGCTACCAGAGTACAGTATTATTATAAAGGGGTAAATTCTGAATTGATAAACACATGGGCATGTGAATTACCTAGCTCTCACTGCTCCATGACTATTATGATGAAGACTCAAAGATCACTATCAGTAGGTGTAGCCTAATAGGCAAGGTTAATCAGCACCAAACTGAAGGTCAGGCTTAACCCTTTCTTATTGTTGATGGAGATCAACAGATACATTTAAGAATGGAAGAACGGAAGTAACTTCATTTGCTGATGATTTGAGTACATGCAGAAATGCCCCCCAAAACTTCTACACCGAGTTACCATGGTAAACACTTTCAGGAAACTAGCAGCATAGAAAATTAGCACATGAAAAACAGCAACTTTAATATCACAAATACAAATGTACTGATGAAGAAATCAGAGATACAATACTTTTATCTTCCTAGGGAAGTCAAATCCCCATGAACAAACAATGATTAGGTTCTCCTCATGTCTGCCACAGATATCTGATACTACATAAGAGTTTTCCCTTCCTAGGACTTAGGGAACCTCTTATGTTGTTGGAAATCAAGGAGTAGGATAGATAAAATAAAAGAGCCCCCAGAGGAAAACAACAGGATTTTCTATGAAACTGTGCATCAGAAAGAGAGGCCACTGTGTCTCTCAGAGCTAGAACACATGCACAGGGCATTCAGGTCCCTGGATGTGAATCCCACCATCACCATAACCTAAATCAGCCCTGAGATAAAATGTCCTGCACACATTGCTACTTCTGACTAATCTATCCCTTAGCTGGCTCCTTGGCAGGTGGACTTGTCCAACATACTTAAAGCTACTTCAGTGGAACAATGAACTCTCACCTCGTAAAATACAAGAGTTGCAATTATTTTATGCCTAAATTTAGTGTTAATTACCATTCTAATATGTACACTTACACTTTGCATTGTCTGTCTTAAGCATTATGAATTGCACCCCAATTACATTCCTTAACGTGAGAATAACATCTTCTTTCAAGATGAACTCCAAAATTTCTTTCCAATTACTTAATCCCTTAAACGAAGGTTGCTCTACAGTTACAGAGAGATAACAGATTTCAATTGTTAAACAAATTTATTTTATGAGAATTAAATGTACCCATGTGTACACAATTGACAATTTATTAACAAGTTTAGTATCTTGAGAGCTCACATGTACAGCTCTGTCTTCTAGGCTAAGAAAACAAGCAGAAAGCTTCTTGACCCACCTGATGTGTGTGTGTGTGTGTGTGTGTGTGTATGTGTGTGTATGTGTGTGTTTGCATGTTTTTGAACATGGTACACAAGATACTTTTGAAAGTAATCCAGGGTCAGTTAATATAAATATGATCTCGTTTGTTCTTGTCCACGTTTTAAATCTTTGATGTTATCCTGAGAGTTAATGACCTGAAACAGCTACTTCTGTCATGTCTATTTGTATAAATTCTGAGACTTTGAAGCTCCATAAACAATGAAATGCTCCCCCAAATGAAGACATAATAAATTATTTGAGAAAAAGAGGAAAAAACCTGAACAACATCTTATAGTGAAATCAATAAACTTCAAGA